CACCTTTTAGTCAAGACTGTAATATGCTCGAGCCCCACACTAAGACTCTGCTCCACACAAACTGTTTCCCAAATGAGGTGAGGGGGTCTTTAATGACCATCCATCCGTTCAGGCAGTTGATATAGATTCTTCTTCGAACCCAACATGGTGCCTCCAATTCCATGCAAGCAATGTAAAATCATCGAATGCGTCACACGTTCATCTAAGAACAGTTCTCACTCAATATAACTCGCTTGTTGTACAGGCCACGTTGAAGAGAAAAGGAAACTCCCTCTGCAATCTTACTTGAGAAATCAATGGTTAAAGCAAAAAAGCTAAAAGGCTGCGTTAATGAAACAAATCTGTCAGGATGGCCAAATACCAATTGTGCTTAGCAAGCCTGCCCAATTTTGCTAACATTAGATATTGCCTGTCTAATTTATAAGTGCATTTATGGCAAGACACCAACAGTGTACAGGCGTTATATATGAGGGGGTTGGGGGGTTGGGAGGGGGGAAAAGGGTGGAAATCTGCCAGAAACATATTCTTGAATATCACTCTGGCTGAAACAATGGACAGTGAGGTACAAGGAATACCAAATGGGATGCAGATGTTTTATGGTGTAAAGTGTGTCTGAACTTTGCACAGCGTTTGGAATGGAAACTTAAGGACAGCCCTAGTAAGGAACCATCCAATCCGCACGCTTGTGCGCATGTTAGTGGATAGGGTTTCAAGTTCAGATTCAAACAAACTGAATGTTTTTGGCACATCATATATAAAAACAATGTTCTATTGAATTTCAAAGGTTCCGGTAATACAAGCTCGCAATGCTGTGTCAGTGGGTTACGGTGTCAGTCTCATCCAGCGGGATATGAAACCAGTTTATAAAAGTTTAGTCCTTTTTCCCCCCAAATACTGGACTTAAAAAAAAAAAATCAAAATGGGCTGCCTTCACCCCTCTGAAGGTGCAGCCTCACATTCCAGGGCTCATTGATCCCAGATGTGCCAGAACTTCCAATCCTGGCTTTGTGTATGTGGATGGTGGCGTCCTGTAATGTAGTGGTCAGAGCACTCACCTCGTAAGAGAGAGGACCTGGGTTCGATTCCCGGGCAGGGCGAAATGTTAGGCAAGTTTCCATACTCCACATGCCGGTTTACCCAGCAGTAAGTAGGAACCTGGTTGTTAGTCGATTGGCAGATCACTTTTCAGGGAGTAATAATCCCTTCAAAAAAAAAAACTTTGGTCACTCAATCCACGACTGTTTGTGGGACACTGCTGTGGCAACTGGCCTTCGCCTACAAAATATACAGTCAATTCACTTTACAGTATATTCTGTGAAGCGCTTTGAGTCGTCTCAAAGATGTGATATGGCGCTATATCAAATGCAAGGATTATTATTATTATGGTACAAGCATTGATGAAAATTGTAACTTAATGAATCTTTTGCAAATTTGTTCATTAAACCTCTGCGGTGTGGAGGATGTTTCTCCCCAGTGGGATAGAGCTCCCCTGCTTCAAAGGATTAGTAATATTTACATTACTATCAGTCATAAAGTAATAGGAGAACATTGGTCTAAAAATCTACTCGCTCAGAGATGCTGCCGCGGGTGAAGCCGCTATATAAATGCAAGTTGTTGTTGTTAATTAATTAAGTTGTTATGGTTAACTTGGCTCAGGTGTACGGACCTGAACATCATGAACGCTGAGATAGAAAGACACACAAACTGGATTCCCTTCCTGTACTCAGTGAGCCATTTTGCTCAAAGGGATTTGCTTCCCTACGGACCTGTCCCCTCCCCCACTCCACAATAGTTCCCTTCATCTGTTCCAAACGTCAGACAAAAACAAGTCTGAGCAGTGAGTGTCTGGACCATATAGATCAGGAAGGTCACAGGTTAAATCCAGTCTGTGCTGAGTTAGTTGATGTCAGCTGGGAAACGCTGCTTCGCGCTCAGTATTTAGGGAGATTTTTTTTAAAAAAAGGTGGGATACCGAGGGAAAACTCCTTGGTTTGCAGTTCCCACTGCCGAAGGCCATCTGATATCTCCTCCCTTCAAAGGCCCTCGCAAGTGGCCTTGAAATGACTGTTTGTGGGACGCTGCTGTGCGCAATCGGCTGCTGCATTTTCACCCACAAAATATGCAGTCCATTAATTCGCTTTACAGTAAAGTGAATTCTGTGAAGCACTTTGAGATGTCTCGACGATGTTATGAGGCGCTGTATCAAATGCAAGGATTATTATTATTATAATTAATAACCTGCCATATAACAATTGGCATATAATCACACAAGGATCATTAAAAACGTATGAGCGATGCAACCGTAGCTGCCCATGTCTGAGGAGTTTTTTTTTTTGGGGGGGGGGCAGGGGAAGAGAAGAGAATAAAAAACAATCGGAAAATATTGAACAACAAAGAAAACTTTTCAGACTCCCAAAATTTTGACCCAAGTGAACTTTATTAAGTGAAAAGCACACAGGATGTTGTGTGTGGGTTTTTTTTAATACAAAAAAATTTCCACGTTCGAAGCACATAACCACCCTTCCAAAAGTGTACAGCAATAAGTATAATTAAAGAATTAAACAGGTTTGCTACAACTTATACAATATCCTATTAGTGCAAAGGGCCCACAGCACGACAAAGTAAAATATCATGAAAATTCTTAACCTGACATCTGTAGTACCTTGTATCTTAAATTATTTCTGGCACAGCTATGCTTTAATTCAAAAGTTTTTTTTTTAAAGAAGACATAATCCTTGACAAGTCCCTTCATGTATTCATTATATACAGAAATACCATCCACCTACCCCATGCAAAACAATCTACTGTGCTTCCGTTATTCAATACTAGCAAACAAAAATATATCCACAGCATTATTTCCCAAAATTTACAATTAGTTTTTTTTTTAAAAATGTATTTTCCATTTATACAAAAGACACCCCCCCCACCCCCGTTATACACTGTGTATTGAACAATCCGTAATTTGGAATTTGATACGCAGTTCCGTACCCCACAAGATGTAGCAATAATGATCGACGAAAAAAGGAAAAAAAAACACAAGAAGCAAGCGGAGAAATTATTTTTGCTTGCTGGCAGAACTCACTAGACCATTTGTACCTGTGTACGTAATTCAACGAAACAGGGAGGGAGGAGGGAGGGTCAAAACAAGAGGTTAGCAAATGCACGAACCTCACCAAAAGAAAAGTTTGCTCAGTAAGGCAGATGTGGCAGAATGATTTCAAGGCTAGAAGCATTCTCTTAAGAACTTCAGTTTCAAGGCAAAAAAAAAAATTAAAATGTGGAAAACAAAAGTGGTACCATTACGTTAAAAAGTAAGCAGCTCTGCTGGGCTCCAACCCACGCGCCCAGCAGCATTCTTGTACATTCATGTGACTTAAATAAGAAGGAACAATAAAAGGTTAATTAAAATGGCTCTATTTTGTATAATGACTGATGACACAGGACTGATTCTTAAAATGTTACCGCCAAGTAATCCGACTTGAACAACACGAGAGAAGGCGACGAAAAGAATCATGCACTGGGTTTCCTGGCTAGAGATTGCAAAGCCGGAGTCAACCCTTTCATCACTAAACAGCAAAGCTTCTTTCAGAACATGCACATTTTGACAAAACGCCGCACAGCCAGATTCCAGTTCGCTCCAACAACGAGATGTGAGGGATCTGAATAAGGTTTCAATCTCGAACTCTGGTTGCCTACCAGAGAACCAGCATAGAATTTTGGCCTTAAAAAATTGCTGTGGATACACACTGAAAGCTAACCCCTCCACCGCCCCTTCCCTCCCCGATAAAATTGGCCATTCAATTAGTTCATAGCTGTTTGTGGGACATTAAGAAGCGCAAATGGGTTGCCGCTTTCGCCAACAAATACAGTTTCTACACTTTGCAGTAATGTCCTGGGATGCGCCTTTGAGATGTCCTCCTGACATGAAAGGAGGTATATAAAATGCAAGGATTATTATTATTATATCTTACATGAGTGGGACAGGAATCCCTTTTCTTGCCACCATCTGGTTTTGCTGCTGCGCTATCAGTAAGATGCAAGGCATCTTACTTTACACTAAACATGAAATATATTTATCATCTGCTGAAGGGTCCTAACTACAGAACTGTTTATTTACAAGTATGGCACACGTCGGGATTAGAGTCAGGCTTGTTTGCTAACAGATTAAATTAGGAAAATGCATGTAGATGAATCAATTTGGTTAGTTGGGAATGAATGAATGCCCCTGGTTTCACTTGATGGAGCATTTAATACAATGTCTCCTTGTTTATAAACTAAAATATCTAAATCTGGAGACATTGCTCCTTTATATCACCACTTACTCCCACCCGATTTCAAGGAAATGCGTTGCAAGATGCTAGAAACTGATCCAATATGAGGGCCCCTTCTGAGTTCCAGTTAAGGTAAATCGAGGTAAATTAATAAATCGTGGGAAAAGTTCAAGTTAAGAAGCCAATTAGGTGTTGTGTTTAAGATCTTTACCACACATTTCACAGCTCTCCCCTCCCCCGCCCTCATAATCCTTGCATTTGATTACAGCCTCGACAAGATCCAACCATCCCAAAGCGTTCGGCAAGGAATTGTCGTTGAGTGGAGCCGCTGCGTATTTGTAGGCAAGCAGCGACAGATTTTACACAGAGCAAGTTCTCATGTGTGGCCATGAACTGAACTCCCAATTTATCTGGAGGATTGTTGGCAAGGACTCATGGGTTGGTTATCAGTGCAAAATGTGGGGGAAAACAACTCCAATTTGTAAACAAGGAAAATAAAGGCAAATCGCACCTTCCTTAATAGGTTCAGACACCGAATGTGACTCTGGCAACAGCTATCACAGCCCTGGAACAGGATTCCAAGCTGAAGTTTCAGACTTTCCTGATGGCCTACATAACATCAAACCTCAGCAACCGCAAAGCACAAGGTGGCAAGAACACAGCTTATCTGATTTCAATCTTTTTTGGGGGGTCAGTTGGGTGTCTGACACATGCGGAAACCCATCCCCGTGCTTAAGAGTCTCCAAACCAAGATGAGATTTCCATGCATCCCACTTACACAGGAATGTAATCTACTGGTCCCAACCCACAAAGTACGTACATACATCTCAAGTCTAAATCACAATCTAAACTCAACAAGGTGACCTATGGTAACAGAAGCTAATTCTATCGCAAATGAGATTTATCTGCAAACCAATTTCAGAATATATTAACCCATAGAATTTTAACGAGTCTCTCTCTCTGCAGCGATTCAAATTGAAACGATTTTCCCTCCTCTTACTAAAAGTTTGGGAGGTGTAAAAAGGGCGGTGTTTCTTTTAAAAACAAAACTGTATATATGTCTTATTTGATAGTTAATTCCATTGTTAAGGAAGAGGAGTTTGAAGCGTGGAGTTTGGAATCCAAGAGTTAAACTGAATTGCAATGGAACACCATTTCAAAGCAGAAATTCCAGACATTAAACTTTTCTTTAACAGCTTTGCAGATGGGATACACTGATTTCTTTTCAGCAGTAAATGTAACCAGAGATAATTGTCCCTGGTGCTCAAGTAAAATTAATATTAAAATAGACCGTTGTAATATGACTTAAAGGAAATATATGGTCTAATGGCAACAGCAAAATACATTGTAAAATAAGGCAACAGCATTAAGAATTACAAGCCATTGCTTCCAATCACACAAGCAATCCGAGTGGTAGCAAGTTCAACTCGCAGAGACATCGGTCTCCTCATCTACCATTCTGTCGGCTAATTGCAAATAGAAATTCCATTTATTCACAAAATGTTGAGTGGCTGTGAGTTACTTAGCGATGTGCACACGAGAATCCTGCGCTCTGCCCTGAATCCATCATTTCCCAAACTGGCTCAGAATTGCACTATTAGGAAAAGTATTGACACTACTTCACTCTTCTCCCTCAACTTCTGTCTTAAAGACAAATGATGCAACTCCATTTCCATCGATTAGCAGGAAAACTGTGGGCTCTTTAGTCATCTGTTCCACTTAACGATTAGCGTAAAGGAGATAAGATTGTAGATATCAGCCATTTTCAAGCAACCCTTCAACTAGTCTATCAGAATAGAACAAACAGAGTACTTACAGTGGAAGAATACACTTTCTTGGCCAAGCAATGATAAGTTTAGATCATGGATTTTCCTTCAACACTTCTCTCTCTAGCTAATAACAGGACATTAAATATTACAGGTTTTCATCCTCAGACTGAATGAATGGTTTGTCTGTTTCACATGGTATTTATAGGCATTCAGCAGTATTCATTTTGGACCAAACTTTCACAATACACCAAACTCCACATTTACGGTGAGAGACAACTGCTGGCATCCACGATACCATACAAATTACAGTGTCTCATGATTACATTTGCATCTTGTTACTGCCAGTACTTACAACTACCCACCTTGTAGCTACTAATTCATTGTTCTCCCCCCACCCAATGTTGTGTGATCATGCATTAAAGAGATAAAACAGAGAAAAGATAAAATGCATTCGGTCCAATTGCACCACCCAACACAAGGAACAACCCCAACGGACACACCCATGAGCACAGGTTTCGTATTTAACATCGGGTCAAGTTCTCTCTGCAGTTAAGAAAAAAAATTACACATCCATAAACCATTCAATACAATCCGCTCTGATGTCACATGTGTAGCTGTGGATGTAGTGTCAAGATTCATTTTAAAATCTTTATAGAGCATCCGTGCCCTTGCCTTTCATCAATAATTTGATTTTTTTTAATATAAACGTGATTTTTTTTGGCGAGCATTTGGTTGTTGGGAGGAGAGGAGAGAGAGGAAGAGTTAAAACGCAGATTAGAACCAAGATGTCACACGAGAAAATGCAGTCTAGTCTATAGGCTATCAGACAGAGGTATTTCACCTGCGACTGATTACCCAAGCAAGCAACCTGAAAATTAACTGTGACCGAAGGCTTCACATGAGCGCAGCTGTGCAAAAAAAACCTGCGGTCGGGGACCCAGCACTGCACCTGTGTGCCTTGCCTGGACCGTCTCCATCCATCTGTCTGTCTTGCCCAGGTATCACAGCACTTTGCATTAAAAGTCTAATTTTGGTCCATATAAAAATAATGTATTGCAACTCAGAAAAGTGCATTTTTTTTTAAGAACTCTCACACGGTTTGGTTCTCGGTAAGGGTTTTCACGCTATGACCATGGGCACGTCATCCGAAAACCCGTTGATCATCGGGGCGTCCTCGTCGTCGCCTGCAAGACAGAAAGGGAACGCTGACAAATTGCAACGGATTTTTTTAAAAAATAAATAATCCCTCTACCAGTTTGCACACAGAAAGCAAGGCCTGAAGTAATGTCCAGTTTATAGAACCATAGAATCAAGCGCTCTGAGATGTCGCCCGGGGTGGAATGCAAGTTGTTGTTGTTGCATCTTACAGCACAGGAGGCCATTTGGCCCCTCGTGCCTATGCCGGCTCTTTCCAACTGGTCCCACTCCCCTGCTCTTACCCCATAGTCCTGCAAATGTTTCCTTTGTAAGTACCTATCTGGTTCCCTTTTGAAAGCTACATCGAATCTGCTTCTACCATCCTTTCAGGCAGTATGTTTCAGACTGAAGGATTGGAGGGTTGGCCAAGACACCAGTAGAAATTCCCTTCTCTTTCTCAAAATGTGATTGGTGGTGAATGTCGACCATGAAGGAGCAGAGAATTTATCATCCCGTCCAAAGGACGGTACCTCAGACAATGCAGCAGTCCCCCATTACTGCATTGGAGGGTCAGTTTAGACCAATAGTAGCCAATCTGTGGCCCGTGAGTCAGAAGTGACCCCCCTCATGGCCATCAAGAACCGCCCCCCCCCCATCCCCCGAACATTCACACATACAGGTGGGTCCATTTTCGATCAATACTAGGTTTTCAGTTTTTTCTTGATTGAATATGTTTTGATTTATAGCAGAAGGCAAAAAAAATTCAATCAAGAACATTTATTTTGTTGGCCAACCGCAAAGGTTGTTCTAGACTGAGATCAAAGTCCCAATGTAGGGCTTGAACCCATAACATCAATTCTCCCCAGCCTAGTTAGCACTGGAGCTAGAGGCACAGAAACCTTATATCAAGTTGTTTTGCCGCTTGTAACTCTTTCAGTAGACATTAATAAATATAGCTTTGCAAAATATACATTCAATTCACTTTACAGTGTATTCTGTGAAGCGCTTTGTGATGTCTCGAAGACGTGATAAGGCGCTGTATCAAATGACAGGAGTATTATTACTATTTGTCAGGCATTTTGGAACAGTCATTTTACTTTCAATGAGTGTTTAACATCTGGAAAAAGCTATCACAATACACCCAGAGGGAATAATCCAACTATATCCATTCTTAAACAAACCCCTGTTTTGGGTGAAAGAGAGACCGGTATCTAAATATTCTTTTAGAATGTGGGCACTTTGACAGATACAGGTCGTCAGTTTCACACCAAGAGCAGCTAACAGTCTAATGAGTAGAAATCACTCATTAAGAAGGTGAAATCTGGTACAAATTTTCGGTTCCCGATGTTAATAAGAAGTCATGCTAAAAGTACAGATGGTTAACAGTTTCACTGGCTTTTTTTTGTCATCCCGTCAGCTTTCTTAACTGATATCTCAAACTGGTTGAAAAACGCGAGATTAAAGTGCTGAGGTGATAAATGACGTTTTATAGACCACCGAGCAGAGAAATTTATAGGACGCTCACTCCCCATCAAAAAAAGCCCCACCTAGCGATGACACTTATGAAGTTTAGCTCAAAGGTCACAGTGAGTTAATCTGCCTGTAATATCAAACCCCTACAGGTTCAGCCCATGATCCCAGCATGTCAAATGCTCGTCTCGGTCATGCTTCCTGGTGGGTGCGTCAGGCAGACACAGGCCAAGAGGATTTTCAAAGGGAGGAAGAAAACGAGAGCTTGAGAGCATGTCACGTGAGACACTGTTAGAAGCTCGAGTGGGTGTGTGTGGGGGCGCGGGGGGGGGGAGAAGATGCATAGAAAATTATTCCTCGGGGCACAATATAATGCTTGGGACACGACATGTCAAGCGACTGCCAGGATGGTAGAAGGTGAACTGAATTGGTCTGGGTTTTCGTTCGCTAGCAAATTCTTACGTTCTTACGAAAGAGACATGCCATGATATAAAAAAAACGCAAGAAACTGTGCAAGGATCACTGGTCATATATATTTACCCAGCTCATCCCCTGAAGAGAAGACTGCCGACCCCAGCCGGGAATTATAATGACTGTTCGCAAAGGCTGTGAAACTATTCTGGAGTCTCCGATGGCGCACGTAGAGAATGACGAAGCCTGTCCCCAGCATCACGAGCAACAAGAACATCACTGGTACCACAATGGCTGCTACATCCGTGGGCTTGGAACTCTTGGATGCAGATGGATCTGGTGCTGGAGGAGGAGGGGAAAAAAAGGGGGATTACATTACAGGAATTTACTATTCAATCTAGTTGACTATATCATTTCAGCATAACAAAATACAGTCAATCCACTTAACAGTATATGCTGTAAATCACTTTGAAATGTCTCAACAACACGATAAGGCGCTGTATCAAATGCAAGGATTATTATTATTACTCTATATACAAGTTATGCAGAGAATAAAAGCAAAACTGAATCTAATTTTACCACTTCCACTGAAAATACCCACTTTACTTTATATCATTTCAGCATGACTCGATATACAAGTTAAATGTTGCGGAGGGAGCTAAAGCAAACTGGATCTAATTTGACCAGTTGTATGGAAAATCCCGACCCAAATATTTACACTACCTCCTTTCCTAAGTAATGCCAACAGGGACTTGTCCAGGTGTTTCCTGACTGCACAGTACCCTGGGATTAGCTCTGAAGGCCAATAATGCAGCTTGGTCTGTACAAGTCTATGTTACCAATTGCAAGCTGTACGGACAGTGCTTCAAGCCAGGCAGCCACACATCACAAGCAGTGAAACCACAAGATATGGGCAAGACGTTCAGCATCAGACCTCATGTTAAGTTCTGCCAGATCATAATCAGCTAATAAATCTTGCGTGTCCACAATTGGATTTGATGTTCCTAACTCCCAGTTAATTTGCTACACCACTGTCCTCATGAATGCCTGAACAATCTGCTGTTAACAGTTTGGAGCGCACTTTGGTGAACAATTACTCACTTAGGTGAGTAAATTACACTCTTATTCAGAACCCTCTGAATATGAAACGAATGCTGGAAACTGAGTGATAGAAGAGTGTTCTGCGGACTAAGTTAAGACCAGAGTCCATCCAGTGAACAATTCCAGATTTGGTCTTTATCCAAACTCATTTACATTCAATCAATCTGAAGGTTTGCTGTCCCAAACACTACAAATAGATTTTTTTTTCTATTATGAATTTACTGGACTTGGATGAAGTCACAATGAAATCCATCGTCCACAAAACATTCTCCACACAGACTTTAAGCATGTTTGAGGTGCCAGCTAATGTCAGACAACTCATAAGACTCAGGTAAGACTCCTTGAACGTACATGAATAATGAGAGGCTCATCCACTTCACGTAAGCACATTATGTTTTTTCTAACCAGCAAGGTTGGATGAAGTGAAATGCTTAACAAATTCAAAACAAGCAACATGGCTTAAACACGGGACAAGACTAGTTTTTTTTAAAAAAAAACAGGGTTAAACAAAATTAACTCACCAAAAGCAACTGAGATCCAAACCCTAATTCAGGGGCTAAGTCACATACATCACATAGTTTCATACAGGAAATCCATCATTTAAAATGATTTACACTTCCGAGTTTAGTGAGAACCGCCACATACCTTAAATTACTCTAAAAAATAAGCATCAATCATGCGGATTTGGCTCACCGTTTCCGAGTTCATCATAGAGCAGGGATGCGGGTTTACCACAGATCTGCCCATTGTACAAACATCTGGCTTGCACTGTGAACGTGTAGTTGTGGCCCAGCTTCAGATTGGAAACCATAAAGGTCGTTTCCGACGTATTCCCAAGGCACACGGTCGTGTTGGTCACGTGGTCATACATGTGGATTTCATAACCCTGAGGTCAAACAGAGGACAGACAACATGTCATGGTTGCAGCTTTCGCCGCGTCTTACTCAGCGCCATCCTTCAGCTTGGAAAGCAAGAAAGCAGACAGACTAGTTCAAGGTCCCAATAAAGTTACACTCTGTGGTTCACAAGGCTGGACAAGCAGTTCTCTTTCACGCTCTTTCTCCACTGCCCCCATCCACCCCACCCTGTCCATCCCCAAAGGATGCGGCGTTCTTTGAACACATAAAACAACTGTTCAAAACTGAGAGAGGTTTTTGATAAGACAAATAGGGAGAAACTATTCCCAGTAGTCGATGAGTCAGTTACCAGAGGGCATTGGCTTAAGAACACCATCAAAAAAATAAACCAAAACAAAGGAAGAGGCTAAAATTCTTTATTACGCAAACAGAGGAATGAATGCTCCACCAAAAATTTTTGCTCAAAGCAAAATCCACATTTTTTCAATATAAACAAAGGGATTTTGACAAAATATTTGAAAAAGAAACACCCAAACAGGAAACATGATAGGTTAGCCTTAGATCCAGCAGTAAAAAGACAGCAGGACAGATCTGCAACTCAGGCTGGACGAGGACTGGTACAGGTAGCGCATACCCCTGAGGGCGTAACTACCAGACAACTGACTAGCCTCACAGTAGCCTTCGACAGTCCCAGGGCTGGGCTATTACCGGTGGGCCCCCAACTACACCACACCAGAGTGGGTCAACCCTCAGATCCCAAAACTCCGCAGTCAGGCGTACCTTTAAATTTCAGTAAAGAATGATAATCCAATAAGGATAATTAGCTGTCCCGCTGCTGTCAGAACAAGACCCGCGGTTTTCCAGACAAGCATTTTTTTAATATATATATATATATATATAGAAATTAAGTTTTAAATGTACAATGATCTGATCCAGGATGCACTAGAGAATGCACAGGCTAAAGCCTAAATCAGAACCAGAAGGGTGGACTGCCAGGCCCTCACAGATCTAATTATGCCCAGCAGCCTGCTACAATTAGCCTGGGCTCGCAGGGCACAGGCTTTTGTTCTCTTCCTTCCCTCCCTCCCTCCAAAATGCTTCCGTGGGCAAATCCTTCAGCAAGTGAAAACAGATCCATCACGTATTGCTGGATCCCACCCTTTTAATAACAATCCTTGCATTTGATATAGCGCCTTATCAAGTCTTCGCAACGTCTCAAAGCACTTCAGAGAATATAATAATAATAATCCTTGCATTTGATATAGCGCTTTTCACGTTGGGAGGACATCCCAAAGCGCTTCACAGAACACACTGTAAAGTGAATTGAGTGTATATTTTATGGGGGCAACACAGCAGCCAATTGCGCACAGCAGGTGTCCCACAAACAATCGTGGATTGAGTGACCACATTTTTTTTGAAGAGATTCATACGACTCTTATGGTATGAGTCTCTTAACAATCACCAGTCGTAAGCAGAGGAGAAACAGCCAATCATTTCAATTAGCAGCTATCTATTACTCGCATTCATCATTGCTTAAGCATCAATGAAAACATCAGAAACAAGCCTCTGCAACACTGGCTACTTTAGACTCATTAAATCTTCTTAAATAAAAAAGTACGCCAACTGATCCCATGGGGGCTATACACCAGACACACTTCCTTACAAAGCTTTTATTTACTGATCTAGCGTATACTGGTTTATAAAGGGTAATTAAGTGTGTTGAATTCCATTCAATCATCATAAAGAGGAATGCCCTCTAGAGAACAGTTACTCTGCAGCAAGGATGGAATCGTGACTCATCCTATTCAAGGATACACAGAGAATGCGTCATTACTATGGCTCAGCTGGTACTCAAGTGCCGGTAGAAGGTGCCAGTGATGTACATCCAAGATTCAAAGAAACGTGATAAAGGTTGCAGTTGGCGGTACATAATTCTCTCACTTGAACTGGAGTAATTAGAGCTGCCTCCCTGAGCTGCTCTGACGTCATCTTTCCAATCTACTCACTCGTCTCACTGACAAGAAAGGCCAAGGATGTACACGAAAGGGGAGTGCAACATAATCAAGCAACATTTATCAAAGTGAAAATTCTGGAGTGCAAAAAGTGGTCCAAACTCCACAGAGACATTGTACTTAGAAACAGGAGGATACTCTGCAAATATTTCGTACCCAGCAACACATCTGGACTGGAAAGTGCCATTTTTTGGTGCTTCAAAAACCCTATCCTCCACTCCCCTTTTAAGATCTCCGTGTAATTTTCACAGTGCTGTACATAGCCTGCTTGGAAGTCATGCAAGCTGTAGACGAGGATACATGCCAAGGCAGCCAAAGGTTGCCAGAGTATCCCAGGATACTCTATTGAACTCCACATTTCTGTTGCAGAGCAGTTAACTTCAGAGGAAGTTAACCTTTTGGTCTGGGCTGATACAGGTAACCCCCCCACCATCTCCAAGTAGAAAGGGAGAAGACATGTAAAGTGAAGGAAGAAACCGATTGTGAACTCATGTGGTAAATCAGAGGAGGAAACCAACTTCAGATCACTCAAGGCAAGTGCTGCAACACTATAAAGTAAGCACAGCATGACCAAACCTGCTGCGGACTGCAACACATCTCAGCTCCGTCTCTACTGCTGGAAACAATTTGCAATGGCTTGCAGCAGTGAAGTGATTTAGAGCGGTAAACTGCAATTTCCCCGCTCCCAAATTGTATTGGCTGGGAGCAGAGAAGAGCTCTGCACACGATGAACCACTAAACCAGGCCAAATGCACGTTAACATTTTTAAATGTTATTAAAGAGGGGATTGTGCGAGTGGCTCTCGAACATTAAATGCAGCCCCTTGGGGGGCTGTGAACGATTCCGTGAGGAGAGACCAAATCGATTTTCTAGTAAAACCATCTCCTCAAGGTGGCTTCATCAGATGGAATTCAGGCCCGATTTGTTTGAAGATTGCAAACCGAAAGAGCATTTGTCCTGCATTTCAGCATTGATTAGATGCTATTTTCACAGTATTGATGCAAAAGCACGGCAAAAACCAGAGACTTAAAGGATTCCATTTTGTTTCAGCTAGGCGAACAGATTGTATCATTAATGCACAACATGTGCTTATCCAGTAACTTTGACGTAGGATAACATCTCAAAGTGCTTTACAGGGACGATGTAGAACATCAAGGAAGGTGAAAAGAAGATTGAACTGAAAACAAGGTCGAAGAGTTAGTGTTTTTTTAAGTTGGATTTTGAAAGCAAGAGATGGAGGGATTTTGAGAGAGATCCAGAGCGCAAGGCGATGGGGCTAAAAGCTCAGCTTTAATGGGAGGACAGAGGAGGCGAAAGATATACAACAACTTGCATTTACACTGCGCAACTCACACAGGGTAGCGTCCCAGAGCGCTTGACAGTGGCGGAGAACGACGACAAGCTGGGAGGGAGGTGACCATAGGCATGATCGAAGAGGAAAGTCTTCAGGCTCGATCTGAAGATGTGTTACAGAATTTCAGAGCGTAGCGGCTGAAAGCTCTTACACGTTGAGAGCAAAAGTCATTAACAACAAATCACATTTGTATAGCTATGCTCTGAAGCTCGGAACACTCTTCCTCTACTTTGTCCCTACCTTTCCCATCTTCAGATCGCACCTGAAGACCTTCCTCTTTGACCGTGCCTATAGTCACCTCCCTCTCGGAAGGACGTCCCAAGGTACTGGAAGTCAGAGATTTGGACCCGAGCCGGGGGTTGGGATCAGGATGGGTGGAGGGTGGGGAGTAGGAGGGTGACTGAAGAGGTCGAAGAGGAGGGTCTTGAGGCAGGCCCTAAAGGAAGCAAGGGAGGGAACAAGGTGAAGGGAATGTGGGAGTTCCAAAAGGTGGGGGCAGAGAGATGCTCAACTGCAAATGGTGGGTGGGCCGGGTGAAGACATGGAGCAGGCCGGAGCCTGCTGAGCGGAGGGAGCGAACAGGCTGATATAGTTAACAGGTCATAGAGGTGGGAAGGAGCAAGGCCGTGGAGGGCTTTGAAGGCAAGGATGAGGGTATGTAAGGCAGAATGTAATCAGAATACAAAAAGAGTTTTTAAAAAGTTGATATAATTTTCCTTTAAATTTTAGCATAATCAAATGCTGGGGGTGACCAGTTCAGTGAAAATAGAGCTTGTGCAATGTAAACAAACAGCTTGCACATCTTAAAAATAAAAGGCAGCTAGTTTTCCATATTTTCCACTTACCCTGTTGTCATTAAAGCTCCGTTCTTTCACGGCAAGATTTTTCCAGAACAGCCGGATGTGGTCTTTCTCTGGGAGGATTTTCAGCGACTCTGGTGCTGACAGAGGAACTGGCATCAGAGAGAGAGAGAGAGAGAGAGAGAGAGAAAAAAAACACGCGAAATAAAAATACAGATACAATGAGTTATTCAAGCTATCAAAATACCGCTGGCTGCCTCCCGCAATCTGAACAGACAGGGTTCATTGTTCAATGCATTCCAATGACATTCTTCACAGCATGGTTGACCCTTGAGCAAGGATCTTGGTCAATGTCCCCATTCCTGTGGCACACAGAGGAAAAAGCAGCCATTTACCACTGCATTTGGAAATCAAAGAGGGTCTTGAGTGTTTGCAAGAAATCTCTGCGGTTGGTCACAGGGCTAGGACTGAGTCAACTTTTCATCTCTCTGTTGCAGATTGCAAGAGTTTAAAGGCCTCTGCAACTTTCCAGAACGTCAAGATTTCTGGCCTGCAAAACTTATTATTATTTAAATGCATCATAATCTTGTATTTGACAGTTCCTTATCACGTCTTCGAGACGTCTCAAAGCGCTTCACACAATGTATCGTAAAGTGAATTGACTGTATTTTGTAGGTGAAATGCAGCAGCCAATTGCGCACAGAACTGTCCCACAAACAGTGGTGGTTGAATAACCAACTTATTTTTAAAAAATATTCTATGTTGCTTTTATGAATATAATAATCCTTGCATATGATATTTAAATTGTCGAGATGTCTCAAAGCAATTGTACATTATAGGTTCATGGTTGAATTTTCTTTGAAAGAAAAACAAAACTCGTTCAGGAAATAAATAATCACTCAGATTAATAAAAAGATTCATCGTGTGAAAACAATCATAAAAGGCTGCCTATAGATCAGAGACACTGGGAAATTTTTCCCATAAAATATACAGTCAATTCACTTCACAGTATATTCTGTGAAGCGCTTTGAGATGTCTTGAAGACATGATAAGGAGCTATATCAAATGCAAGATTATTATTATTCCCTCACTTTTGGTTCTGTTCTTTCTATTCTCTTTCAGATCCTTAACCTCAGGAAACAGGAATAAAAAGGACAACCTCATGCAGGACCCTCCTCTACATTCCCAAACTGTAATCCTTAGATTCCTCAGCACTCTATGACACTTTGCCCCAGAACACTTTGTGCAGCCATACTAGAGAAATTATCCTGGATCGAGTGGACGATAAGAACATAATGCAAACATTCATTTACTTTTATTTTATATTCATTCATTCCAGCCACATGTGTAAGTAAGCATTTAACCAGAAGACAAAGAATCTGTTGCAGTACAATAGTCTGCCACTAGATGCCAGCAGGGTTTGGAAATAATGGCCTCTATAGGGTACCCAGACAAAAGAATTTGCATTATATAGCCCTTTATCACATCGAAAGGTCTCAGTGCACATTACAGTGATTGTCATATATAGTGACTATTTTATAGACCAACATAGCAGGGTGCCACTCAAGCCCGATTGTGCAAACATGTTGAGTAGTAAAGCAATGGGTCACTAGCTCGTTCACCACATATACTTTACTACAAAGGTTGTTTGTTGTGACTAGGAGGCCTTTGATTTGCCACAGAGGACCGTTAAGCAAGCATCCAGCATTGATCTGTCCTCTGAATGATCAAACGGCCTCTTCTGCCAAATCTGAACGCAGTTTGCCTCACCTGTGGTTAAAGTCACACTGGCTTCTTTGCTCATATTAAACAGCCGGACGACAATATTGTATCTTCCACCAGGTTCCAGCTTCAGCACTTTATATTGCACTGTATTGTTCGTGGTGGTAACCTTGTAGTTCTTTTCAGTTTTTCGAATGGAATCCTTCACACAAACTGCATAAGTCTTGCGATAGAAAAGGTAATTGCATTACTCAGAGGAAAAGATCACAATTATTCATCAATTACAGTCGTGACAAAAAAAACCAGGGAAAAGGAAGAGTTAACCAGATGCGTTGCTTTTTTTTCCCGGTCTGACACATGCGGAAACCCATCACCATGCTTAAGAGTATCCAAACCAAACTGAGAATTCCATGACGTGTTGCAGCACTCAGCTTTCCTTGGTTGGACATAAATAATTGGCAACCACAAAGCGCAGGACTTGATCCAGTGAAAATCGCAAGGTTGAGAAAATGTCTACACCTCACAGTCTCATCAGTGGGTAAGACGAGCTATTCATGCATGAGCGGTGCCTTGGAGCATTGTAAAGCTGCCCAGTCTCATCTCCTCAGAGCTGGTTAGACCAATGCATGACAACTGCTGTGTTATCAGCATTGTAAGTGCGAAGGGTTGAGTGGATCCAGCAGGATTGCATCCTTCTGTCAAAGTCTGAGCAACGCAGAATACACATGAACACAGTGGACTTCTGTCACAGATACCATCAGCCTGGACAGGAATTGTTTACTTGCTCAGGAACACACATCAAACCACCTCTATTAATAGTACCTGCAGAATTCGCTAATAAATACCTACACAGTTCTGCAAAGCAATTTCAATTACAACATACTTAGTTAGCTACCAACTGCGCAATCTTCCAGGAATTGTTTTTGTGCATCAAGGTCATGATGTGCTGAAACGCAGGGATTTGGTGGCTCGGTGTAAAAATATCCCAGCTATACTCAAGGAATGTAATTGATTTAAGAAATAAGACTGGATCCTTTATTTCACTGTCATTAAAACACACAAAAACTGCCAGAAAACGCCAGTGGAAAGCACCTAAAATTGAGATGCCCGATTTATGTCCGTTAACACGTTTCTACCCAGGATTATTAGGAGCCAGAGATTATTTCCTAAGGAAATGCCAAAGCAAAGCCTAATATTACAACAAACAATATTTATGCAGTGCCTTTTAAGTGGGGAGGATGTCAAGGCGCTGGACAATCAGGGATTTGGACCCAAGCTGGAGGTTGAGAGGGGTGGAGGGTGGGGGTAGGAAGGTAGAAAGGCATGGTCAAAGAGGAGGGTCTTGAGATGTGCCTTGAAGGAGGCAATTAAGGGAGCGAGGCGGAGGGACTATGGGATGGAGTTCCAAAGTCAAATATTAAACTGTGACTGGGCTTCCTCCCGCAACAAAAACTATTTGCAGATACTCACTAAGCTTTCATTTTGCAGGTCATATGGAGGTTGCCACTTTACTGCAGCTATTGTCTTGCCAGTAATGACAACATGCAAGTGGCGAGGTGGCAGTCTGTTATCAGGAATCATCTTAACAGCAATGTATTCAGAGGGTGGGCCAAGATACGGAACAATTACACGAACCTAGAAGAGGGGGGAAAAAATTGTTTATTTATAGTTAATAAATCTATAAATCCTTGCATTTGATATAGCGCCTTTTCACATCTTTTGAGCGTCTCAAAGCGCTTCACGGAATATACCATAGAGTGATTTGACTAGATTTTGTGGGCGAAACACAACACCCAATTGCGCACAGAAGTGTCCCACAAACAGTCGTGGATTGAGTGACATTATTATTTTTGTAAAAAAAAATTGTATTTATGTAGCATCTTTCATACAGAGACTGGACAAAAAGAGTGGGAGAGGAGACCATAGGCACAAGTGAAGAGAGATTTTCAGGAGGCTTTTAAAGACAGATAGAGAGGATTTAGAGTTTTAAGCACTGCATTTCAGAGGGCAGTGGCATAGTGTCTGAATACACAATCAACATTAATGTCACCTCGAATTCAAACCCTATCTTGCCGGCAGCGTTGGTGTATGATGGGAGCTTCAATTCTGAAACTGGGAGGTCCACCTTATCAACAGGTAAAATCAAAAACAATTACCAAAAACAGATATTGTTCATCGCTGTCCACAGTTACTGAGAGTTTAGTCATTTCAGAGCTGACGTTTCTTGGACTTTGGTGGAGCTCCAAGAACGATGTAGCAAAGAAAACTCCGTAAACCTGTTGAGAGCAAAAAAATTACATTTGATGTGAACTACTGTGTCTTAACCTGGAGTTAAGATATACAATAATATTGATATAGCACCTTATCATGGCGTTGAGACCTCTGAAAGTGCTGCACAGAATATACTGTAAATTGAATTCACTGTGTAATTGTGGGTGAATTGCAGCAGCCAACTGCGTACAGTAGTGTCCCATAAACAGTTGTAGACTGACACAGTCACGAAAATCAGCAGCAGCAAACCAAGACAACAATACATTTTTCAAATTATATGAACTGAACAAATGGCAAGGCTGCCTGCTTAACATGCAAAGCAAAATAGCAGTGTATAAGTGCAAATCACAGTGCTCATGCCTCTTCTGCTATAGGCTGAGCATAGACCCTCTACAAATAGTCTACAATGAAGAAATACTGGGAGTCAAATTTAAACAACACCTTGAAAATAATATACATTTACAGCCTGACAGTGTGTGGCAATAACTTTGACCTCTCCAGGCTGCAATATATTAGCGCTATTCTCCAAACAAAAAAAACTGTCTGTGAGAATCATGCAACAAGTACAAGGCAGCACATAACAAAGTGCGAAGACATTTCATGTGGTTCTCTATAAAGCATTTGATATCAGAGATCAAAGGATAATTGAATACAAATGACAGGTGAGGTCTAAGAGGTCTAGAGTCGAGAAGAGTACACGATACTCACCACATTCTTTGGCCCCGTCCACTCACAATCTACAATAGTTTCACTGTGTGGAACTGCTTTAAGTTTAGGTGGTGCTGGTTGGATTCCACTGGTTGTAGCATGGGAGAAAGTCACTGGACTTTCACCAATACTGGTTTTTGCCCATGCGGAAATCTCATACTTTGTCCCAGCAGTTAAATTGGCAACTGTATAAAGAAGAGACAGTGAGCATGGACACACTGATCCTGACACAGCTTTTTACTTATATCCCCCCCACCACAAACCCACACCCATGCTCCTCGTCAGTAATCTATACTTATGTGGATTTTTATCTAGTTCAACTGTGTTTTTCTGTCTTGCCATCCTCGCTAGCTCATTACAAAAAGAAAATTACTGATTAACCACAACTACTGACCCGAATGCTTGCATTTTTATAGCGCCTTCTACATTGTAATTTCTCGAGGCGTTTGATGCTAACGTGTGAGTACATAGATTTGTAGGCAGAAATCTGACCACTAAATATAGTTAGGCAGTAGAGCTTTGAATTTAATGACTGGATTATTTTTTGATCTCTTCGAAACAAAAGTCAGTTTGAGCCTCAAGAGAAATTACTTGCATTTGCGTCACTTCATTATCTCTATCAGGACATACCAGTGAGGTCAGTATTTCCTGCATTAACAAGTAAAGTTCGCTTCTCTTTCACATGAGTATCAAATGTCCAAGATAAATCCACAACATAGCTGGTCACCTGAAGAGGGGAAAACAATAATAATAACCCTTGCATTTGATGTAACGCCTTATCATGTCATCGAGACATTCTCAAAGTGCTTAATGGAATATAATGTAAAGTGAATTGACTGTATTTGGTGGGCGAAACGCAGCAGCCAATTGCGCTTTATATATTTTAAACAGACTTTGCACACACAATTCATCTGGAATGGGCTACCAGTCCTACATTACAGCCATCAACCGTTTTATGGAATGGAACATTGAGACTCAGTAAACAATACTACACAATGTCTCAGTTCACACTGCATAGTAAAGTAATTTATATTCCAGTCTTATTCATTTGGAATGAGGGTTGTGCATTATGTTTAAAAAAAACTCACAATTCTCAAAACCTACCTTAACGTTGGAGTTCATCTGTAACTTCAAATCAATGCTGTTTTCATGTGCACTGTCAATCACAATGTTTGGTGCTGGGATTGCTATTACAGAGGGAGACAGACTAACGTTAATGGATTCAATTAACCAACTGCTTTGTTCGCACTTTTATTGGATTCCCTCACCAACGAGAGGAAGCCAGCATTCACCCCATCTCATTTTGCGGTTCACTCACTAAATTAAATTCCATTCTTGTCCCACTTTAAAATGTAACCTTCTCGCTCTTGAATTAACCAACAAATATTCATTGCTGTACTTTTTTTTAAATTAGCAATGTTTTGAGCTGTTCATCAGATATTTAGTCAAAAAAAAGCAATAAAATATATTGTTCCAGGCCACTTTCCAATGTCCTTAAGTCAACTCTCTCCAATAGTAAACAGTTCGGGATAGAAACTCAAAAGATGGAATTCCATGCCTTTTTAAGTGCCAGGAAACTCTGACGATTAGACATTTGCTGTGAATCAATTCAAAACAGTCTAAACAGTAAAATAGCAACTTAAGGATGTTAAATTTGGCCACTTTGCACATTTTAGTACTTTTTGATTTAAAAAATGTAAGAACTTGCATTCACGTGGGGCAGCGACTATGGAGAGCTGAACACTGGCGGAGCATGTAGCCACTTAACCAAAGAAGCATACAGGTTGTGAACAAAATGAAACAAGGATGACGCCTGAGCCATTAACAGTGGCAAAAATTATCCCCATCATCTTCAAAATGTGGATGGGTTATTGCCAGTAGATTGTTTCATTGGTTTCTCTCTCCAAAGGCAGATCACCAACCTTTCCCTTTCTTTGTGATGATGGTTTTCGAGTCACTCCAGTTGCCTACTCCACGCCCTGTCACAGCTACAACCTGGAAGCAATGGAGGAAGCAAGGTTGCTAAAACCATACAGATACCCAATCCCGCTTTACGCAATCCGACTCTGCAGCTATTCCAAACGGTTGTGCCGTGAGCGACTGGCTACAAATGCCAGCAGCCGCTCACACCATAACACTGATCTGTTGCCAGATAATCGCATTCCTTCCCACACACCAGCCCCCTCCCTCCCCTCCAGTTGGAAATTGGAAAGGAAAAAATAGAAAATCCAGATTATAAATCACAATAGTGTAGATAATTACTCACTCAACAACAACTTCCACTTGTATAGCGCCTTTCACGTAGAATGAACGTCTCAAAGCGCTTGACAGATATAATGGTGAGCACTGAGCAAGGAAAAGGGGAGATTTAAGAATGTTGACCAAAGGCACGGTCAGAGATATGTTTTCAAAAGGGTTTCAAAGGCAGGGAGAGGGGAAACAAGGCACAGAGCTCTAAAGGACAGGGACGTGATGAGCAAAAACTCAAGTCACCAATGGTGGGACAGAAGGGGTGGATTAGGGGGTCGAACAGTAGACCAACATCGGAAGGGTATGTGCAGGAGAATAGGGCTGGAGAAGATTATAGAGGTAGGGAGGAAAAGCCTTGGAGGAATTTAAAAGTTATGGTAAGGATCTTAAAGTCTCTATTCATAGACTAAAAAAAATGTAAATTAGCCAGGATTTTAGTTCATGTAGTCATGGGTCTCAACTGTAATTACAAGACAGTTTTTAATTAAAATCTATAAATAAACCAAGAATTAGTCATCTGTTTGACAGACTAAAAGGCACACTCACCCTGACCCTGTACACGACATTCATCTGGAGGTTTTTAATGTCCAAGTAATTTACAGTACTCTTCAGTGAAGTCCATTCTTTCGTACCATTCTGGGCGTATTCCACCTGACGAGGGGAAACAGAGATAAAAACCAACAAAGAAATCTTGTTAACACTTAATACCTGAATGGCAAAATAATATAGAAATGGACCCATGCAGTTGACGTTAAGACATATCCTATCAAAGGCAAGGCTTTAGAGATAATCTCCAGAGAGAACTTTTCCCTCTCAGCAAAATCACAGCGGTTGGACAAGCCTATAAATGACCGTTATAGGTCTTAAAGAGCGCTAGTATAACTGCTTTCATAACACATACTGTGGAAATAGTGACTTTCCTGGATCTTACAAGGTAATAAGATTAAACTCAAGTCAATTGCAAACCCAGTAACGTACTGCACGATTAACACGTGTTCCCCATAGGAACAGGAGGTCATTCAGCCCCTCGAGTCTGTTCCACCATTTTGTACGATCATGGATGATCTGTACCTCAACACTAATTCCTTCCCGCATTTGCAGTGCAAATACCTCGATGCACTGACCTAACAAAAATCTATTCAGCCCATTCAGTTCTAAGTTATTCGATTCCTCAATAACTAGCTGGGCATTCTGCTCCTCCTTGCTCGACTTACATTGATGAGAGGAATAAATTATTTCTCCATTCGATACAGTGCTTGGGGGTAACTATAGGACATGCAGCAGAACAGTTTGCACACAGCAAGCTCCCACAAGATGAATGATCAATTATCTGGTTGGTCAGGGCATTGGAAAAAATCCCCTTCTCTTTCCCAATAGGGTCAGGTACATTGGTTTATCCTCTTACCCGAAGGTCGGCACATGCAACAATGCAGCCCCAATCCCCCACCCCAAGTACTGCACTGGAGTGTCAGCCGAGACCCAGAGTTTGAATCCTGTCGAGGAGCTTGAAAACACAACTTTTTGACCCAGGATAAGGGTGTGACCCACTGTCAAGCTGACACCCTTCAGAAGGAAACAAAGAAATTCAGCAATTGTATTAATCATATCCTTTTTTTAAAAAAAAACAGAACAACTGAAATTATTACACCAGTAGTCCTCATGCTCTGCAGATAGCCTCCTGTCAGTTGAGTTTATCTTCCAATAGTACTCAGCGAGTCGTCGGGTTCTGGAATGCACTGCCTGAAACAGTGACGGAAGCAGATTCGATCGTAGCTTTCGAAAGGGAATTGGATAGGTACTTAAAAAGGAAAAAAAAATGTAAGAGTGGGGGAGCGGGACTAGTTGGTAACTCTTGCAAACAGCCAGCACAGGAACGATGGGCCAAATTGCCTCCCTCTGTGCTGTAAGATTCTATGATAGTACTGTGGCAATTTAACAAATTAATCTATGAAACTAAATCCATTTAAAAAATGCTCTAAAGTAATTTGGAATTTGAGGCAGCTTTGTTAAACTTTGCAGATACTTACCAGATACTCGCGAATGAGCCCGTGAGCATTAACAGGGCGAGTCCATTTACAGGATATGGCTCCATCCTCTTCCTCGCTGTAAGACAGCTGGAGATTCTGTGGAGCATCAGGCACTGGAGAGAGAAACAAGGAAGTGAACAAGGAATCTACCAATACCAAACTCAAATTCAGATCGCTAAAGCAACATTAAAAGTTAGTTTTGCAGTGGATTGACGTTTGCGATTCCCCCTGCAATTCCCCCCCACCCCCATCCCAGGTTTTAACACATTTCTTTGTGTGTAATTGACTGCCGTGTTTCGCCCACAAAATAGTCACTCCACTTTACAATATATTTTATGAAGCGCTTTGAGACGTCTCAACAACGTGATAAGGCGCTATATCAAATGCAAAGACTGCGATTATTATTTTAAATACAGTGCATCAAGTAAAGCAATCAGCGGATATTGTCAATTTCTCTGCACTCCACTTTTAGTAGTTTACACCAGGTATTTCCCTGGAATTCAGGAGCGCAGAAAGAAAGTATACTTAGAATATGAAAACAACAAAAAGTTTACATTTATAAAGCGCACATCACGTAGGGTAACGTCCCGGAGCGCTTCAGTGGCAGAATCCGACAAAGAGCCAGGGAGTGAGGGAGGGGGGCAGGTGACAGAAAGCACAATCAAAAAGGAAGGATCTTTAGAAAAGTCTGGCAATAATGCAAAATTTTCTAAACAATATTTCAAGGAAAATACTCACAGCCTTCGGGTGTTCGCAGTGTAATGACACTGTTGGTGCTATAGATTTTATGGAGGCATTGAGCTTGCACTTTCACCTGGTAGGTGGAATCTGGTTTCATAATCTTAATCACAAAAGCAGTTTTGTTGTTAGAGTCCAAGCTCTTCCAGCCGTCACCCAACAATCTGCAAGAAGAAGAAATATTGCTGCTTAAAAAGCTCCCTCGAGACCCAATAAAAATTTAAAACATTAGAAAATCTGTAAGCAGGTAAACAGCTTACAGAGAAATAACTTAAAACTTTACTCATGGGGATTATGTTACTGCAATGTATTTAAAATAATAATAATCCTTGGATTTGATATAGCGTCTGATCACGTGTGTACTTTGTGGGCGAAACGTGGCAGCCAATTTCACACAGCCCACATATTTTGCCCACTAAATATACAGACTATTCAATTTACAGTATATTCTGTGAAGCGCTTTGAGACGTCTCGAAGGGCGCTACATCAATTGCAATGATTATTATTATCACCAGCATCAAGAACGTAGGCAGGTAGAAGAAACATCTCCTTTTGTCTTGCCAAAAGCAGTAGCAGGCAAACAAAAAAAAAGACAGCAATGTAAAAAAGGTGAACAGTGATGTTATTACCTACCTGTAGTACACAACGTAGATGCACGATGAAGGCAAGTTCTTTGGACTGTCCCAAGTTAGAGAAATGGCACCATTCAAATCAACCGACCAACGTAGATGTCGTACTTTGTACACTGCACTGTCACCTACAATAAAACGGAAGGAGTAGTTTGGTGGGAAACCAGAGAAACTTTCACAACCGCCACTGTTAAATAAATCAATGAATCAATTGCTGACTTAATTTTGCTTATATACAACTTGCACTTATATAGGGTAGCATCTCAGAGTGCGTAATATATTCTTTTATATTCATTGAAGACAGTGTAGATGTGATAGGAAAGACAGTCCAATCCGCTGGTGAGCAATGCTTACCCCTAAATAATTCAGTCTCCTAACAGTCTCCATTGCTAAAGTGCACAACATATGCACAGTAAATGGATGAAGGTCTGAGGGAGTTATTGATGTTCACTGAGTGTTCTGATAAAGGTTTTCACCCAAAACAGTAATCAATTTCTCCAGCAGATGCTGATGGACCTCCTATGTTTCCCGTTAGCTCAGATTCACAACACTCAAATTGATTGTGGAGTCCTGTAGTGGTTAGTGTGCTCACTTCGCAAGCGAGAGGACCTGGGTTTGATTCCAGGGCGGGGCAAAACTTTAAGCAAGTTTCCTTACATGCTTCTGTTTAGTAAGAACCCGCTTGTTAGTCGATTGGTGGATCGCTTTTCTGGGGTAATAATTCCTTCAAAAAANTCAAACCCATAAAAAATAATAATGTGGTCACTCAATCCATGACTATTTGTGGGACCCCACTGTCTGCCAAATATACAGTCAATTCACTTTACAGTCTGTTCAGTGAGGCGCTTTGAGACGTCTTGAAGACATGATAAGACACTATTTCAAATGCAAGGATTATTAATATCCTATATCTTACATTGAACATCTATGGGGTGTAGCTGCACGGCTTCTCATGGAAGGTTTACCTGAGCAGTTTTTCTCATCGCTGTTGTCAGAGCAGTCTAGGAATCCATCGCAACGTTCCAGCTGGCTTATACACGTCTCTCCATCCTCGCACACTGTCTCGTTCAAGCACTTTAATGGAGCATGGCTGGCTGAAAATCAGGCGTTTCAGAAGGAAAGAAATGTGTGTAAAAACGTGTCATGATTCTCAAAATGTAACACCGACACCAAAACAACCAACAGTTTCATTTGATAATAAACCAAAGCCAAAAGACTGCAGATGCTGAAAAGCTAAAATAAAAACCGAAGTCACTGAGTTTATTAGAGAGAGACACACCAAACTCATCAAAACTCAGAAGAGTACTCAGGTGTGAGTAACGCTCACAAGAGTCCCATATACCCCCCACATCTGCCCCCACTCCACTGATGTGTGGATCACAGGAAGTGGTTAAGTGTAAAAATTCAGATGAAGGTGACTGATTGTGAACTGGATGTTTCCTCTGCTGTAAACTACTGATAACTTGTCACTCCAAGGGGAAATGGCTTGGTGACAAATTCTCAGGAGGGGCGAGTTTCCTTCAAAAAAAATAATAAATTGGTCACTCAATCAACAACTGTTTGTGGAACGCTGCAATTGGTTGCCACATTTTACCCACAAAATATACAGTCACTACACTTTACAGTATATTCTGTGAAGCGCTTTGAAACGTCTCAAAGACGTGATAAGGCGCTATATCAAATGCAAGGACTATCATTATTATTGTCATAACCAATTCAAAATAAATACTCACGACAGTTCATCTCGTCTGACCCATCCCGGCAGTCTTGCTGATTGTCACAGCGCTTCCAGTAAGGAATACATTTGTGACTGCGTGCACAACGGAACTCGGAGATTCTACATCGTCCAGCTGGTGGTGCTGTGGTTGTTCTGGTGGTGGTTCTGTTTGCTGTGCGCACAGGGACACGACGACAATTATAAGCCAACACTTTTAATACCCTCTAGAACTTTTGCAAGAGTCGGTAGTAATTGTTTACCCGGTAAACTTAATTTGAATGCACTTATACTGGATATGTCGCCCAAAAATGCAGTCAATTCACTTGATGACCTATTCTGTGAAGCGCTTTGAGACGTCTCGAAGACATGATAAGGCACTATATCAAATGCAAAGATTACTATATTATTATATTAATAGCTGCCTGAGAATGAAAGCTATTCAGTGAGGGACAGTTTCATTGTGAGTACTTAAACCCAGCCAGTGAATGGCTGCTAATCAAATGCACTGCCATTTGTGTCAGTCAGTGTCAGCATCAACCACAAGGCTGGAACAGCAGCAAGTTGGATAGAACAAAGATTTTTTTTGAGTTTGTGCCTTAGCCTTAGCAGTGACCAATGGAATTTATATTAATTATTCTACAGCAAACCGTTACCCTGAACATCTTAAACCCACTGAAACATGCGCCCAGCCGCCCCACCCCAGCCCCCCCTGCAGTAAATGCCCACCTGCAGGTCCATCTAATTTCCTACCGACTCATTCCTTTGCTATTTCAAATTCAGGGCAAACAGAGAGAGAAAAGCTGAAATTAAACCAACTTGGCTGAATATTCCAAAATATTACATTGGTATTAACATATCAAGGGCAGCAAGGTCCCAATGGTCTGAGAGATGAGCTCTACTGAGCTGTACCTACATGAATAGGTGGGGCATCCTTCCTCATCAGAACTATCCATACAGTCAGGGAACCCATCGCACACATAACGGTTTATGATGCATTCGCCAGAATCACATCTGAAGTGGTTCAGGGCACACGTGGAAGAAGACGGTGTAGTTTGTGTAACAGGAATCCAACCTAAAACAAGCAGTAACATGTAAGTCGTCAGTGTGGAATGCACTGCCTGAAAGGGGGTGGAAGCAGATTGGATCGTAGCTTTCAAGAGGGAATTGGATCGGTACTTAAAAAGAATAAATGTGCAGGGCTATGGGGTAAGCGCGGGGGAGTGGGACTAGTTGGTAGCTCTTTCAAAGAGCCGGCACAGGCACGATGGGCCAAATGGCCTCCTTCTGTGCGGTAAGATTCTATAAATGCAGCAAGTTTCGTCTGTACCAAATCAACAAGAAATAAAACAGAGGCTTAGACTACATCAGCTCCCGATTCATTCCTAAACTCCCATCTGATATTCAACAGAAAGGAAAGCAAATAAGCTTTGCATCTCATTCTACATTAAGTACAGCATCGATACATTAAGTACAGTAGCGATAATATAGATAGTGTTAATACCAGGACAGCCAGCTTCATCAGACCAGTCTCCACAGTCGTTCTCGCTATCGCACTTCCACCAGTTGGGGATGCAGTTCCCATTCTGACAGCTGAACTGAAAATACCTGGTACAAGTTGGCGCTTCAGTTGGTTTTCCTGCAAAGATAAACCAAATGCCTTTATTCTGAAAGATTTCATTCTGAGAAGAATCTGCTGAACTAACACCTGACTTCTTAAACCAAAGCAACTAAAATCCAGTAAGCAGTTAACATCCAATCAATTACAGAAATAACTGAATACAATTTACTTTTAAGATATCTAAAGAAAAGTAAGACCCACAATAAGAAATTTAACAAATGCTCAGAAGAAGAAAATTCATACACCGAGTTACCAATACATAAAACTTTGATGATGTTTGAAGTATTGCTCAATTCCAACTCAAAGAGAAAAATCTAGGAGTATTCTGAAGCGAGTTAGATAACGTAGACTATGATAACCTGCTTTATCTTGTACTGAACAGTAGAACCAGCGGACACGGCCTGCGATTGAAGTGGGGGTACATCCAAAACAAATCTACTGAAAGTGAGCGTGTTGCAAACTTATGGAAGACGGTGGAAGCAGAAAGTGACATTTGTTTCAAGAGCAAATTAGATTTAAGATTTGTTAAAAAAAATCTTGTGATACTGTATAAGGTTTGGGATATGAAATGTCAAGCGACTGCCAGAATGGTGGAAGGCGAACAGAATGGACCTTGGTCTTCTTTTGCCGAGCAAATACTAATGTTCTTATGTTTCAGACTTCACTTACGACAGTTTGCTTCATCAGAATAGTCTCCACAGTCATCCACCCCATCACACTTCCACTCCATGCTGATGCACACTCCATTCGAGCATCTGAAGCTGAAGGGCTCACACGTCTTGGTAAACTCAGGCAAGTGTGCTACAAATTGAAAGGAAAAGCAGGAATGTAAACTAGTGACTAAAACTTTATTCTAGTCTATTTTAGGTTAGAGATATTCAGATTATGGGATTTTTTAAAATTCTAATTAGCTTGCTTCAGTTGGAAGAACTTTTGTCTCTGTATCAGGGAAAAGAGGTTCATGCAAATTGAAATACTCTATGTAATTTTAAAATCTCAATCGTGCCTTTATTAATAATAATCACCCTTGCATTTGATATAGAACCTTACCACACCATTGAGATGTCTCAAAGCATTTTTATTCTGCTAGGTTGCAGTTGGGTGGAGTTTAATTTTTCTTGTACGTACAATGAACACATCTTGTTACGAAAATATTTTAAATTGCATTACGCCTCGTATCTTTTGTATGGGAAACATTTACAGCAATCTCTACATAGCACAAAGGATACTGAGGAAATTTATATTATGATGTTAACCAAGGCAGTTTAAGATAATAAAAGTGCTTATGAAGAATGAAATCAATAACAAATCTTGGACAAATTACCTTTTGTACAAGCCGGCATAGCATTATTTTTTATAGCAAAGTATGGGCTAATGAAATTTAAGCCACAGTAACCTGACCGGCTACCATAAAAGTAAAATGGCTAACTTGCACCACAACAGTTATATTTCAGAGAATCAGAGAGTGTAAAGGCAGAAACTGAACATACTACACTGAGCATAGCTTGGGTCCTCGTCAGAACCATCATCACATTGCGCAGTGCCATCACACACCATGGAGCTGTAAAGGCACTCACGCCCGTTCTGACAAACAAAATCCATGTACCGGGAGCATGGTGGGCCTGGGGAGAGTGAGAGAGAGAGAGAGAGAGAGAGAACAAAAACAGAACATTTTTGATTACTTTTAATAAAATTCAGGTTCAACAATAAAATGCAGATACAACTTGCATTTATGCTGCGCCCTTCACGTAGGACAGCGTCCCAAAGCGCTTGACAGTGGCGGAGTCTGATGCTGAGCCAACGGAAAAGGTGACCGTAAGCACAATCGAAAAGGATGGTCTTTAGGTAGGATCTGAAGGTGGGGAGACATGAGGCAAGGCGGAGGGATTGCGGGAGAGTTCCAGAGTGGCTGAAGGCATGGCCACCGATGGTGGTGCGGAGGAACAAATAAGGGGGCTGGAGCTAGCCGAGCGGGCTGAGGCAGGGGGTAGTGGAGTAGAGGGTAAGGAGATCGATAGGTAAGGAGGTGCGAGGGCATGACAAGAGGAGCCTGAAATTGGTCGCTATGGTTAGCTTCACGGAAAAGTGTATCAAGAATTTTTTACAAGAAGAATGGTGCACCCCATTAAATTATATTTTATTTGAGATTATATTGCAAAGCTTTGAAAATAAATACTGGTTTAATTAGAGGTTCCAACACTTACTGCAGTTTTCCTCATCTGAATGGTCTGGACAATCTGGGACACCATCGCAGCGATGGATCATTGTAATGCAAGTGCCATTGCCACATCTAAACCCATGACATGCAGAATCAGCTTTAACAGGGGTGGAGGAGAGAAAGGCAATTTATCAAAACAGCTTTGAACTAAGAACAGTCCAGCACGCCAATATGCCACAATCCTAATACAGTAATGGGTGTTTCGTCCACAAAATAGTCAATTCACTTTACAGTATATTCTGTGAAGTGCTTTGAGATGCCTCGAAGATATGAGGTGCTATATCAAACACTATTATTAATAGTAGTATCTCCAAGCTATTCTAGTTACTAGGTCAATTCGGACAGAATGAAACTAGTTCCAACACTTACATGGCATATTAATTTATGTTTTTTTTGCCTTTGTTACTTGAAGCACTTTCACTGTTTCCTCTCTCGCCCCCTCCCTCCACTCCCCAGACCCAATGACACTTAGGCTTAGGATTTTTCCTCAAACCTTTCCTTAATCAGCTGAACAGAAAACAAATGCTAACTGGACCTGACCCTCTTAAATAAAACAAAGAAATATGCCTGCATTTTAACTAAGGTTTTTTTTGGTACTAGTTAAGCCAGAATCACTTTCTCTACCAGTTGTTTGTTTGCTAATTTTATCGCCAAAGGGAAACTTACCACAGGAGTGGTCTTCATCGGACCCATCACGGCAATCATCATCTCCATCACAAACCCACCGGCGAGGGATGCAGTGTCCGTTGTGACAAGCAAAGTTGGTTGTGTCACAAGTGTGTTTATTTGCTAAAGAAAAATTAAACAATAAGCACATGCCCTCATTCATAAAAACAAAATACTTTAATCAAGGAAAATTCACATATCTAATGCACTGGCTATGACAATATACCCAAGACTGGAAATTCCTATTGGTATAAGTTCGCTGCACTTGAGGCAGGAGGAATTCCATCCTTTTGGTCAATAATAATAATCCTTTGCATTTGCGGCTCATCGCATCTTCACGACGTCTCAAAGCGCTTCACAGAATATACTATGAAGTGAATTGATTGAATATTTTGTGTGAAAAACACGGCAACAAATTGCACACAACAGTGTCCCACAAACAGTTGTGGAATGAGTGACCAAATTATTATTTTTTAATTTTTGAAGGGATTTATTACCACTGGGAAAACAATCCGCCAATCAACTAACAACTGGGTTCCTACTTACTGCTAGGTAAACAGAGACATGCGGAGTAAGGAAACTTGCCTAACGTTTCGCCCTGCCCAGGAATCCAGCGGCTTGCGAGGCGAGTGCTCTAACCATCTTCATAGAAACTCACTTACAACTTCCTAACATCTACACACAAAGCGGAACTAGCTGAAGAAAATAAACTAAATCTCTCATGGCTATATTTTAAGAAGTTCACCTCAATCTTCCACTACGAAAATTAGGTCAAGATTTATTCTGTGTCTCTTACTGGGATTTTTATGTTTCTGCCAAAAACAAATCAAGCAATAATACGACATGCTGTTTAAGGCGATTAGTATTACGAAATACTTCCAAGTCTTAAGCAAACATTCTCAGAATTTCTGGATCTTAACTCTTCACGGTCAGTTTGGTTGCACTGGGTAGCAGGAAAGCCAATAATAATAATCCTATCATTTGATCACTTATCACACCTTATCACGTCTTCAAGACGTCTCAAAGCGCTTCACAGAATATACTGCAAAGTGAATTGACTGTATTTTGTAATGCAAAAGTTGGTCTTGTTCAGATTTTTAAATGGAGCAAATAAATTTTTCAACCAAAACTGTAATTTCCAAAAATTTGTTTTAATTAAACCATTAGATTGCAAATTCAGTTAGGTTTTCTTTTTCGCCAAAATACACAGTCAATCCACTTTACAGTTTATTCTGTGAAGCGCTTTGAGAAGTCTTAATGACGTGTTGAGGTTCTGTATCAAATGCAAGGATTACTATTAATAGCAGCAATGAAGGCAGGAAACAGCTAACATTATTATAAATTACAACAACACTGGCTCTTACAAGTGCAGTTCAGTTCATCCGACCAATCACGGCAGTCATTGTCTCCGTCACATTTCCAAGAGAAGCGAATGCACATACCACTGGCGCAGGTAAATTCATCATCCTTACAATGGTTCATAGCTAGGAAAGTGGGTGGAACAAAAAATGTACAAAGTCACCATTTACTCTTTCCTTCCCAGAGAGAGAGACAGAGAAAAAGAGGCGAGCGGGCGGGCGGGGGCGGAGCGCGCGGGCGGGGGGCGGGGCGCGATAGAAAAGAAACAGAATCAAACCTGCCAATTCCCAAGACTTTTACATAATCTTACTACTTAAACCTTTCTCCCCACGGCTTGGCTGACAAGAAGAGTTGTGTGTGTGTGTGTGTTCAGATTTGCATCAGCTCCTCTGTTACTAATACTTTGGATAAGAATTCACTACTAAACACGCTGTTGGTAATCTTGAAAAAAAGCTGCAATTCATCAAAGGGATCAAAAACGAACCCTCGGGATCACAAGATTGTTTCTTGCCGCTCAGCTAACTGGTGAGAGATCACCAGTGGACCCATATCGATCATTGGAAGTTTGGTTTGTGGGGCTAACAAATTACTTTGGGAGACAACTAACACTTTCCAACATACAGTAAGAACAGAAAGCCAGGGATAGGAGTGCAACAAAAGTGCCCAAACAAAAAAGATAGATTTGCGCAATATTAACCCCTCATTGAATATTGAAGGGTCAGGAATTGACACTACAAGGATTTTTGTGTTCTCCAAATCATGCTTTTAAACATTAAATGGTAACTTATCTGCAAAAAGTACAGATTATCTAACAAAAAATGAAAAAAATTAAAATAGCACGTAATTTTATTAATTCAGAACTGAGCAAAACAAGTTGGGATATAATGGGAGACTGGACAACAGAGACTTTACATTCGTCACCAGAATTCTCCACACTGGGACTTCGGGATCTCAGTTAGTGCCCTCTGCCAAAGCCCCGTCCAGTCCAACAGAGGAACAGGTCATCCCATATGGCTCATGTAAGTTCCTTCCAGCTAGTTCGTCACCATCACTCAGTCAGAAAAGGTAAGAGGTCTCTGCCTGCCCTCTGTTGGACACAGACTCATTGTGCAGGAAACCTTAGTTGAAGGAAATATTTCAAACGCAATGGCTTCCAAGGAACAGATTTTTTTAAAAAAAGCACCAGAGTGAATGATTTGGAGTTTTTATAATAATAACATTTGATAAAGCACCTTACTACGTCTTTGAGACGTCTCAAAGCGCTTCACAGAATATACTGTCACGTGAATTGACTGCATATATTTTGTGTCTGAAACGCAGCAGCGAATTGCGCACAGCAGTGTCCCACAAACAATCGTGGATCGAGTGACCAATATTCTGTGAAGCACTTTGAGACGCCTCGAAGACGTGATAAGACGCTACATCAAACACAAGCATTGTTATTATTATTATTGAGACCGGCTTATTTCGAGCCACCCCCCACCGACACCTAACTGGAAATGGGGTGGTTCACTTACAGCATTGCTCCTCATCGCTGTTGTCCCCACAGTCATCTTCACGGTCACACCTGTACGAAAGTGGTATGCACATCCCTGAAGATTGGCACTTGAACTGAGAGTTCAGGTCACAGGACGTTGTTGCTATGAAAAAAAGAGACAAAATGCTCTAAATTCTAAAAACTGCACCAACCAACATGCACTATACCTCCCTCCACGTAGCAGGAAACATTTAGGCTAGGTGTGGGACAGAGACCTAGAAAATAGCAGGCCCATAAATCTTTCAAACTCCGAATGGCTGGTAAAGTATTTCTCAGATGTTCATTCCAAAGCAAGAAAACATCAATTAAAGTTTGAAAAACAAATAAGTCTCTGTGAGCCACTTGATCTGTAAGAACAAAACCACAATGGGGTCTGTTTGGGAAAGATTTATGCTGGCTTTATACTACAGATCAGTCGTTGACAGCGGGAGAGAGTTGACCAATGATGGTAGAGAGGCCGGCTAGTTTAAGATTCTGTGGCTGGCTGTTAGGACGTTTGCTACCTACATGTGCAGAAAGCTCCATCAGCTTTATTACTCTAATCAGCCACTATCTGAGCAACTGCAGGGAAACGGCCATGAGCAAAGCTGCCTAATATTCCGTCATAGCTTCCAGTCATCACTCACTCTTCCTGCAAAATAAAACTAGCAATGGTTCCTTCAGCAGGTTTCTAGACAACCACATTCAACACAAAAAGGGGATTACATGGCTTCACATTGCTATTGCAGCATATACATGAGTCTCAGACTAAAAAGTAGTTCAGATCTCAGGCTAAATGGTACTTACGACAATCTCCTTCATCACTGTAATCACCACAATCATTGTCGTTATCACACTTCCAAATGCTGCTGATGCACTTGCCATTGGCACATCTATATTGGCTAGGTAGGCAGCTGATGTCTAGATGAAAATAAGTCCACGTTTAAGAGAAAAATCATTTGATTTATGAACACAACCAAGTGCAAGCCCTTGGAGAACAATCAGCATCAGAAAGAGGGACATAGTTGGCAGAGAACCAACCCACATACCACCAGTGCCATTGGTAAAAGCAGTGCCCAAGTTGGAACTCTGCATTCAAACTGGTTTACATGATACCAGTCATAAGTAATATGTGAACCAGACATGAATATAACTGGTGCCACTATCTAGGATCCCAGCCTCGTACTGCAAGCGTTTTCTAGACCAGGGTGATCTAACTGGCGGCCCGCAATGTCATTGGGTGCGTAAAGACACTTACCCTCTTTCGTGCAGGTATTATTCCTGAGCACATAGTTGGGTGGGCACTCGCAATGAACGTCACCAGATGGCAAAACTGTGCTGCTGACTCCTGCAGGACACGCACACCTCCTACCCCCGGGTTTAGGAAGGCAGAGCAAGCTACATGGCTTCTCCGTACACGCATTTTGCCCTTGCAAAAAGAAATGCACACACATTGTTAAAGGACAAAAAGCTACAAGCAAATAAGAACATTCTGCGAGTTACTGATACATTCTGGCTGAGACTTTGCTTGGAGGGAAGGAGGGAGAGGAGGTGGATGAAGAGACCAAAAGTGAGACATTAAAGTTTAGAGCAAAGGAACTAGATAATATTAGAACACAACACAAGAACACAAACATCACAACTGTCATAAGTCAATCTCCTAACCAACAGCTTGGGTCTCTGGATATGCATTTTGCAGAACTTTTCTTCAGGAGACTAAATAAACATCAAAGTACATCGCATGTGATCTGTGGTAGGAATAGACTTGATGGGCATCTTGGCCATCAAGACAGGAAAGAAAAATAGATTACACTTTGACTTGTAGCAAAAGGTCATTGCTTATGGCATTCGCTGAGTCAATTTGTAAATAAAGATCACAAGAATTGCTAGACGAAAGAAGACCAAGGCCCATCTAGATTGCCTCCCACCATCCTGGCAGCCCCATGCCCATGTCATGTCCCAAACTGTATACCGAAATATTTTTTTCTAACAAAAATCTATCTAATTTGCACCACCAACCTAGATTTACACAGGTACGTACTTGTGCTAACGTAGTGCAATGCAATGCAGCATCCAATTCTGCCACTGTCAAAGACAATTGGGTAGTCACTGAAGATTTACCCAACTGATTGGTGAGTGACTTTTTAATTTAAAAGCTAGAAAAATAGAAAGTTTTTAATTAAAAAAAGCATTACCCCATGTCTTGCCCTTGTAGAACAACTTCATATCCATGACTCCAGATAAACCAGTAACCAAGGACTGCACAGCTGAACCGTCATACTTGAAAGCCCTAAAAATGCTCATTTGCGACCAATCATCCCAATAGATTTCATTCTGTTAAAATAAAGATCAAAGCAAAGTGACATGAGTGAAATGGGGGGTGAATGGGAGTGAAATAGGAACAGTTCTCGCCTGGGTATTCAACAACAATACAATTATTTATGTAGCACCTTTCATGTCGGGAGGACATGAAATTCAGTGTACGAATCATGATTATAGTGGAGTCCTGTAACTTAGTGGTTAGAGCACTCGCAAGCGAGAGACCTGGGTAAGATTCCCGGGCAGGGTGAAACGTTGGGCAAGTTTCCTTACTCCACACGCCTCTGTTTATCTAGCAGTAAGTTGTTAGTCAATTGGCGGATCACTTTTCCACGGTTAATAATCCCTTCAAATAAAAAATAATTTGGTCACTCAATCCACGACTGTTTGTGGTATGCTGCTGTGCTCGATTGGCTGCCGCGTTTCGCCCACAAAATATACAGTCAATTCACTTTACAGTATATTCTGCGAAGTGCTTTGAGACGTCTCAAAGGCATGATGAGGCTATATCAAAATGCAAGTATTATTATTTATTTATTTTTCAATTCTGAATTATACTCGATTGTGCATTTTATGGAAACAAATAACAATATTGCAGCAAGAATTTCAATAATTACCTTAAAAACACCAATGGCATATGGGTGAGGCAGGTTCTGTACAAGTACAGATCTCTGACCACCACTGAAATCTGCCCGTTCAATTCGGTCACCGTAGGCTTCGGTCCAATAGACCCACGATTCGTCCACAGTGATTCCATTGGGCCATTTAACACCAGCAGCGACAATCCGACTGACATTGAATCCGTCCATATCACTTCGGTAAATGCCTACCGCATTGTCACCCCAGTCTGTCCAGAACATCAGGCTGCAAATAAAAGCCCCCACGCACAAAATGGGGTAGCGGATCAAGAACCCAGAGTTAATCCCAATAATTACATTTGAAGAGAAAGCAAAACTAAAGTCACATCTATTTTACACATCTATTGCAATAAGTCAGGCTGCTTTTCCATGCAGCATTCACAAATAAAAAGAGTAGTTACTGATGGGACAAACACAGTGGGCTAAATGGGCTACTTTCGGAACTTTTGAAGCGCATTAATGTTGAAAGGTCCGCGATTCTGGCTCAAGCCACTGGGTGGCACAGAAATATGATACACTCCAGCGTTCAGGACACTCCAGCACCCTCTTGCGTTTACAAGGTAGAGGTTCAAAGACATGAATTTGCAGGTGGAGAATTTGATTTGAGGCTCCTCTGCACACTTGTCTTCCATCTAGAGGTACGAATGTCAATTTCCTTTGACCACACCTCCTGGTTCGTAAATGCCTAGCTACCAAAATTGGCAAATGCCCAATGCCTGGGACACTGACAAAGTTAGTAATATTGTGCTATACCTTAGAAATGTTTAGGACACATCAAGTTACACACATCCTAAAGCCAATTTTTAACTACTCACACTCACCCTTTGACAGAAATGAGCACCAAAGCTCTTGGATGATCCAAGATGGTAGAATTCACCAGAGTGAGACGCAGGTCTCCACTGGGGTTTGAAACCTAATGCAATGAAACGAAACGGTACATGAATATAAAATATCTGAAATCATTCAGAGCTGCTATTTCTTCTTCGTTTGCCAGTGACTGTCCAAGGTTTAAGAGATAGAAGAATGGTAAACTTGATCAGATCGGTACCATGATTCAATCTCTTTTTATTTGATTAAGGAAAACAATTTGCAGATTGGAGCAAAGGACTGAAATGCATCTGATCAGGTCTGCAAATAGTTCAGCCCTGCAAACCCAACACATCAAATTTAATTTTAGTGAATATTCTGCTCATGGATAGAGGGGGAACGAGCAGTGTCAAGGGACGGAACAATGTGCTGCTTTTTCCTCGCAAGGTCTCCAGATATGATCAGATGCAGTGCAGTTAATCACGGAGACCAGCCCAGTCTTTTGACTGAACACCTCAATTATACAGCTGAGATTAGGAATAAAGAGCACACAACATTTAATGCAAGTCGGTCCAACCTTTTGACTGCTGAGGGCCAGATGCCCTATTTGAGAAACATCCGCAGGCCGCATAAGCAATATTTTTGTGTTACCCTTCCAGCAACATAACATTTCCGAGCTAGAGGGTGAGCTCGACGGAGGGGGGGTGGGGTGCGGATGAAATCGGTCCGTGGGCCGCCAGTTGGAGTACCCTGAATTTAATGTATCCCAATTCTTATCGACTTTTAATTTCAAAATAAAAACGCTCATTGAACTTGCTTCAATTTTCTTGGCTTCAGCATCTATCCAGTAGAGGAGCTGGCTGATGGGGTCGAAGGCCAATGCTTCCACGGTCTGCAGCCCCTCCTTGATTATTATCTCTTGGCCTGTACTCCCATTTAAGCACAAACGCTAAATAAAGATAAAAAGAGATTAGCAAAGGTACAAGTAGAGGACCAGAAATGGCTTGGGAATAGTCCAAGACCTTGGTATCATTTCACTCACAAAATATAGTGAATTAACTTTATAGTATATTCTGTGAAGCGCTTCGAGACGCCTCAACGACACGACATCAAATGCAAGGATGATTATTATCATTATTACATGCATTCTCCATAGTTTAACCTTTCATATTTATGGAACGTCCTCCCGATGAGAAACGCAAGTTGTGGCTGTTGTTGACGAACACACAGGGTTTGGTTGTTTCAGGTTTAAGAGGGTGGAGTCTCAGACACCAAACAAGCACAGGTGCGTGCAGCTGCTTGGCACACTCCTACCATACCGTAAGACACGTACCTGAATAACGTGCCATGCAATGTCTGCCCAATATACACAGTTGTGTTCGTAGTCAAAATCCAAAGCTACGGCTCCTCGTAGATCATAAAGTGGCAGCTTCTCATCTGTCCCGCTAGATAGATCGTAGCGATGGATAGAGCTCCTCAGGGCATAGAGAATAAATTCGTTCTCCTCTGCAAAGAAAAAAAAAGATACCAAGGTTTAAAATCTGATTATACTATGAGAGAAGTTCCTCAAAGACAAAGCCATCTCTCTGATTCACTCACTCTGAAGCAGTCTTTTGCATTTCAAATCAAGATGGTGGAAGCCCAATTTTGCACCTACCATTCATTATTCCAAGCTTGTTTAAAACAAAAGGACACAACTCTGGCGAGTGCAGAGTCGGAGAATCCCCTCCCATCCCACCAAATAAAAGTCAATCCCCACTGATTGGAGAATGATTAATTTTGGCCGGAAATCAGCAGGGTTGGGGAGGTAGGGTTCGGATGACAAAGCAACTGGTACATGATCAGTCAGCGGTGCCCAGATCAGATTACACCCTTGTAAATCACTCCAGGAAAAGTTCTGGTTTTCATAAAATATAGACTTATATTTTTCAGAGGCTTAGTACAAAATGGGACCATTTGCAATCAACATCTTTACTAGAATCGTGTTGGAAGAGAACAGTGAGGGCTCACCTCCCATAGCACACGGCAGTATATCACCCTCCAAACGAGCCTCCACATCTCCACCACTGCAACTGTCTCCTGAGATTTTGCGGTAACTGGAAGGTGGTGGGGGGGGGAAAAAAAATCAAAGGGCACAATTGATATTTGCATGAGTTGCGTTACCCTTCCAATCATTCTGTAGCCCAAAATAAATGCATGCAAGGTAACAAGGTTTAGTTGGTGTTTTTAACGTTATACAATTCCTCATAAATAATAATAAACAACAAGGTACAGCGCCATTCACATCGGAAGGACGTCGCTAGGCATTGGACAGTCAGAGAATTGGACCCGAGCAGGGAGTTAATAATAATCCTTGCATTTGATATCGTGCTTTTCATGTCGGGAGGTGTGGGTAGGAGGGTGGCCAAAGGCGCGATCCAAGAATAGGGTCTTGAGACGTGCCTTGAAGGAGGCCAGCGAGGGACCGAGGCAAAGGGAGGGCGAAGGGACAGCAGGATGAAGTTCCAGAGGATGGGGCAGAGAGACTAGAGAGACTGAAGGCCTGACCACTGATGGTGGGGCGAGGGATGCGGAGCAAGTCGGAGCCTGCTGAGCGGAGTGAATGGACAGGTTGACATGGTGTTAGTACGTCTCAGCGGTGGGAAAGATCAAGGCCATGGAGGGCTTTGAAGGTGAGGATGAGTATTTTGAACTCTAGCCTCTGAGGAGCCAGTGAAACCCAATACTTGCAGATGGTTAGCTTGCTGTTATTGTACACCTACCCTTTTGTTCTCCTGTATGTCGTGCCAACAGGGCAGGGTACAGGTGAGGCATACACATTATCAATGAACTCGGGGTCTGGTATGCAGATCTCAGTCTGATAATCTTCACTCATCTTAAAACCAAAGTCACTAAAGCGAAAGAAGACAGAATTTATTTTTATATTAAAAAAACACAAATTTGTGGCAAAACTGAACTCGTAGCTTTCGAAAGCGTATTTTAAGAATACATTACAAATGTAAAAGAAAAATAATCTCACTGTGAGGTTAAAGAAATTTAATTTCATTGAGTTAAATAACTTAAACAGAATCAAGAAGATTTTATTGTTCTTCGTAAAAAGTATCTGAAAGAACACTGATAATCTCATTTGAGGAACTAAACAAAATATTCTGGCTTGCAACAAAAACAATAATCCTTGCATTTGATATAGCACCTTATTAAGTCTTCGAGACATCTCAAAGCGCTTCACAGAATTTACTGTAAAGTGAATTGCATGTATTTTGTGGGCGAAAATAAAATCCTTGGTGAGGGGTAAAGGTTATCCTGCTGACTTTCAGCACAGGGGATTCCCAGACAAGATTTAATGGAACTTCTCAAAGTTTTTGTTCAATCAATTACAGTAACGATATAAAGGGGACAAGGAGCTTATAAAAGGGTTGCATTATGCGTGTGATCTATGAACAGCCTGCTAGACGCCATTACCATTCATAGTCTTGTCTTGTGCAGGAACAGTTGCTGACTGTAATGGGTCTGTCAAAGTCTTCTCCGTTGAAGCAGGTTGCATGAGGGGTCCTCCGCTTGTAGACGGTTTTTCGACCAAGCAAGCACTCGTTTCCATGCTCATCAGAAGGTGACCAGAGCTTGTAATCATTCTCCGAACATGCCACTCCTGAACAATCCACATACAAGGATTAAACTTGACATATTCAGGCATGTACACCAAAACATTTTTCTTAATTAGTTGGAGGTTAATTAAGGTAGAGAACAATTGTACTGAACTTTGTTCGTCTATCTTGTGATATTCAAACCTCACACATGGATTCTAATGTTTTGCCAGCAGAGGGCATTACAATAGCATTCAAATGCTCGGGTATTCAACTGAGCAGGAAAATATTAACTGCTCATAAGCAATATCATCACACCTCAATGCCACATTTCCAACCATAAAGGAAAACATATTTTCTACCCCACTTCCCGACCCCAAAAAAGGGACAAATAATTTCCAAATAACATAATTAACCACGATCACTGTTGGACAATAATAATAATAATAATCCTTGCATTTGATATAGCGCTTTTCACGTCGGGAGGACGTCCCAAAGCGCTTCACAGAACACACTGTAAAGTGAATTGACTGTATATTTGTGGGCGAACACGGCAGCCAATTGCGCACAGCAATGTCCCACAAACAGTCGTAGATTGAAAATGACCAATTTCTTATTGTTTTTTTTGTTTTTTTTTGGAGGGATTATTATTAAGATATCTGAATAGCAAACGCGGCAGCCAATTGCGCACAGCATTGTCCCACAGACTGCTGTGAAATGAATGACCACTTTTATTGGGGGATTGTTGACCAGGACACTGGGATAATTCTCTTCTCCTTTTTGAATAGTGCCACTGTATCTTTAATGTCCACCTGAACAGGCAGACGGGATCTCGGTTTAACGTCTCATCCGAAAGACGGCATCTCCGACAATGCAACACCCGCCCCAACACTGCACTGGAGCATAAGCTTAGACTATATAAGTTAAAGTCCTAAGAACATATATATTAAGAACATAACATGTAACACGCGTCATCAGGATTAAAGGAATGAGAACAACAAATTACATTTGCATTCAGGATCTAATAAGCAATATTAAAAAAAATCTGTTGCAACAATCATCACTCCAATCTGCAAATATTGAAAGCAGTTTGATTTCCATAACAGTCAATATGTAAATCCCAAATGCCAGCTTGTTTCAGGTCTAATCCCAAAATGATGCTTGAACCCACACTGCTCTAACCACAAGCCGAGTCCTTCCAACTGAATCAAACTGATGTGCAATATAGGTGCCATCAATTGGACAATGGTTGCATTCAAACATTTCACTGCTTCAACTCAGCTCCTAGCACATTCCACTGTCCCCTCTCAAAGCAACACTCACCAGAAGTGGAAGCTAAAGTGAAACATTACTTCTCCACCAAATCTCGAAAGTGTGTGTCTGCAAAGAGGAAGCTCATGGAAAGTACCTTTAATTCTTCCATTTTGAAAAAGTGATTTAATAATAATCCTTGCATTTGATATAGCGCCTTATCACGTCTTCAAGACGTCACAAAGCATTTCACAGAATATTCTGTAACATGAATTGACAGTATATTTTGTAGGTGAAACATGGCAGCCAATTGCACACAGCAGTGTTCCACAGTGGTGGATCGAGTGACCACTTTTTTAAAGAAAAATTATATAAGGGATTATTAATCCTGGAAAAGCCATCAGACAATCGACAAACAACCGGGTTGCTAGTTACCCCGCAAGCCTGTTTACCTAGCAGTAAGCAAATTTGCCTGAAGTTTTCCCTGGGAATCAAACCCAGGTTCCTCTCACTTACGAGAAGAGTGTTCTAACTACTACACTACAGGACTCCACGGATTTGGCAGATGAATATCATTGTACTGGTTTATCCAAGTATTGAGTTGAACTTGCTGTACTTTTCATACCCCACTAACTCCATAGTCATGCAAAGGGCTATACTTAACACAGCTGGTTTCTAAGTATTGAAAAATGTGTAACCTAAACAAAAATATGAATTTAATAGGAGCAAATGGTACCAATTATTCACTCACCAGACAATGGGAGCTACACAGAAATAAAATTACACCATTGTCAATTTCCATTGACGCTGGACTGTGATAACAGGTCAGCCTGACACAGTGGGGAGTATAGTCTAAATTAGGGATGCTGAAAGCAATCAAATATATCCTTGTGATTGGATTATTATTTGTCAGCTGCATCCGGTTCGGCAACTTGTTGTTGTTGAATGCTGGTTCTTAAATTGTAAATTAACAACTGTTTGAACTCAGATACATTATATTTGTTTCTGAACACAAGATTTGCTGCTTTCCAATGGGTAATGTTCCTTTGCACAGAATGCCCAACCCAAAAATGCACTTGAGGCAGAATCCAAAATAGCTTTTAAAAGTGAACTGGAGAAATACTTATATTTTTTTTCCTTTTTAAGAGGGTGGAGGGAGAAAAAGGGTCAGAGAGTGTAACTAAACGGATAGACAGCTCTTTCAGAAAGCTGACACAGGCACAATGAGCTGAACTACCTCCTTCTGCGCTATAAATTTTTTTATGATTCTCAAGACAATTTCACTGAGGCAGAATGGTTAGCACTGGGGTGTGGACTTACGTACCCAGCGTTAAGGTTGTGTTGACCTGAAGTATCAACCAGCTGTGGCTGTTGTCTGCATAGGAGCCAAAGATGGTGAACACAGTGCTCTTCTCTCCTGGCTCGGTGAGCAATCCGTACACCACCACATTTTGCTCAGAGAAGATAAACGTCTTCCAAGTCTCTCCCTCATTAGTGCTGTATCTATTTTTAAAAAAATTATTCACAGATTAACTTCTTGAAAGCTGTGGCAGAATTGATGTACACTATTCTGCACAGCAGGATTTTTGTAATCCGTGTAAAAACAATCCATTCAAAATATACATTAAAAGATGGAGAGGGGAAGGGGTAGAGAAGGTGGATATTTCATAAAAAGGTGATGATACAAAAAAAACTTAGACGAGCCAGAAACATTTTGCTCGTGATTAGAGCAGTGAATTCTTCAGTTTACTCACTTCAATTCATTTGTAGAGAAAGCCTGCGGTATTGCCACCAAGATCCCTCCATGATCGCCCCATGTGTAATAATGTGGACCAGGAAGGGCCTGGAGCAAAGACATGATAATAAGAAGTTTTGAGATTCCCACAGTGTAGTGGTTAGCACCCTCGCTTCGCCAGCAAAGGACACGAGTTCCCCCTATCAAATTCTAGCCCCATGAAAACTGCTGAGCGCAATTGTTTCCTCCACAAGAAAAACAAGTCAATCTACTTTTATAATATATTCTGAAAAGCACATTGAGATGTTTCATCAACTTTATAAGGCGCTATATCAAATGCAATTATGATATGAAGTTTGTTTTGCAAAAGGAACTCAAACATGCAACGGGTTAAGAAAATCCCAAGGCTGGCTTTGTGTAACAAATTGATTAAAGATGAATTGATCCTCTACTCGGTCAGAGGTGGAACCAGCAAAACATTGGCTGCACAATCTTGTAGCCAGATCTCCCCAACTCGTTCTCGGCTCTGGCTCAAACTCCAACAGGCTCTCTTGTCATTCACTGAGGATTAAATCATCCAGTGTGTAATCTTGCGAGTTCTGTTTGATCTCCAACTCAAACCACACAGCCAATCCGATGCTACGACTGATATTGTCCATCTGTGCTCTAACCTCACCACCTCTGGTGCTGAATCATGCCTTTATTCACTTCAGTTCCAGCGTGTTGGGACATGCTCCTGACGTGAAAGGAGCTTATACAAATGTAATTTGCTCTTGCTGTTCAAGGATAGATTTCCCCAATGGTCTGTTTCTAAATTCCCATCCCGATATTTTTAGCTACCCAGTTATAATCCTTGCATTTGATATTGTACCCTTATCATGTCGTTGAGACATCTCAAAGCACTTCACAGAATATACGGTAAAGTGAATTGACAGTCTGTGGGTGAAAAAGGTCACAGTTTGTTGTAAACAAAGACAAAAGTTACCTCTCGCCATCGAACTCCAGCACTACTTGAAATATATACATTAGGCTTGTTTGCCAAGTTTCTGCCAATGGAACCTGAGGAGGGGAGAAGCGTCACAAAATCACAGCTGGATCCTTTTATAAATAATGCACAACTTGAGATAAAATGAAAAAAATTCTACGAACAATTGAATTCGGAACTAAAGCCAGAAATGGCTGGAAAACCACAGCACATCAATCAGTATCTGAAGGAGAAAGATAGGTTAACGTTGTGTTGACACACTTCATCAAGCTGAGTGATTGACCTGCTGTGCACTGCTAGAATTTTCCAGTTTTACTACAAAGTTCAGTCCACATAAGGCACAAATATTGGTTTAAGTTACCCCTAGACTATAGCCTTTGTACCCTGTACTATTTTGTTTGTCGTTCTAACAAATCTAAAATTTATAAAGGCTTTTTAAGGAGTTATATGAGAAGTCACAGATGTGTGCTAACCAGCACACAAATAACTAGGGAACTAAATGTACTTGGATTTTCAGAGCTGTGAGAATGACTAATTACAACTGCTGTACCAGTGAGATAACACATCATGAGGAAGGTGCAAACAACAGGCATGAGAGGGGACAGATTTCCTATCCAATTAAGATAGCAATTCACGGGGTAGTTATAAATATTCCAGGGTTTTGGGGCATAAATCACTGTTTACCACCAGGTCTATTGTGATGGAATGAAATTCATTTATCCTCTGCCTTTGTCTCACTCAGAGGTTAGACTCTTTTCTGTTGGGTCACTTAAATTGCAATGCATCCAAAAGGCTTTTCAGTTTTCCCTTGCGTTTGTGATTCCAGATATTCTATGAAGCTGCATTCTTACAGAAACCTTGATGCAGTCTGAAATGGATTCTCACCATCCATTGATGGCAAATTTAAGTAAGGTTCATTCACTAAAGCACATTATTATGACGTTGCAGTGAATATCTTTCTTCCCCCCCACTCCATAATTTTGTTTCACATGAAATTAATTTAATTAAATTAGGCTCCCTAGGGAGACGGTGCAAGCAGAAAGGGTTGATTCATTGATAGATTTATGTCAGGAAATAATCATGTCATGCGACTGCCAGGATGGTGGAAGGGGAACTGGATGGACCTTGGTCTTCTTTTGCCTTGCAAATTCTTATGTTCTTCAAAACAGAAACAGATCAAGGACGTTATAAAAGTCCGTATATTCAGCCTGTCCCGATCAAGTCTTTTAAAGCATCACCTGTTGCAACAATAAGGCCTGGAGCTGACTCTTTTGAAAGGATGGGCATTCGGCGGAGATGGAAGTTGGCTAGCTGGCTGTAGCGCTGTGCCAGATGGAGCGAGCACCCTTTTTGAAGCTGCAAAACAGAAATGTACATTCACTATCGAAGCAGCAACAAAAACGTGCATTTATATAGCGCCCCTCACGCATCCCAGAGTGCTTGACAGCTGAAGCCTGACATCGAGGGAAGTGGGGTGGGGGGTGCGTGACTGCAGGCATGGTCGAGGAGAAGATCTGAAGATGGGGAAGGAATGGGGCAAGGCGGAGGGATTGAGGGAGAGTGTGGCAGAGTTTCAGAGTGCAGTGGCTGAAAGCATGACCACCAATTGCAGAACAGAAGCATTCGCTATGGCACGGTTTAAAACAAAAAGCACCTCCTGCTAAAGAGAAAGAAACTAGTTTAGTCCAAGACACTGCAGTTTCTTAATCCAGCATTACTCAGCAATTCACAACTCTTGCAGCAACGTAGCAGTGTCAAAACTTTAGTAATTTCCTGGCTCTTACCTCACAGCTAATTTTGACACCATCACTGTCATAACTTGGCGCCTCCAGGAGCTGCCATGTTCCACCCTTGTCGAAGGTTATCACTGATCTCATGTTCTCCTCATTGTAAGAGCCATTCATCTGTGTAGCAATGTAAACTCCTCTCAATCCATCCACACGGTGAATATCTGCAAACGGCTCATTTGCAAAATACCTAGGTTAGAAATAAGATTTTTTTAAAAAAAGATCATACTTGCAAAGGTTCTTGGCACATTGTTGGATTGTCACTACGGAATAACCGACTAATCTTCCTTACATTTTATAGCATGTCTATAAGGTAACAACATCTTAAAGTTCTTCAATTTAATACATATTATCTGACAGCTCGAGGCAAGGTCACTCCCTTCATGGCTGTTGGTGGGACTTTGCTGTGCGTGACTTGGCTGACACATCAGCCTGCACTTGGCAGCAATTAGGTGTGAACCGCTTTGAAACAAGGAGAGATTAAAAGATTGTGCAAAATCCCAATTGGTGCGACTGCTCATGATTAGCAGATCAATCCCCTGCACTTTTTAACCCATTCAACAACAACATTCATTTATATAGCCCTCCCCCACACCAGGTAGTGTCCCAGAGCACTTTATTCACCATCCATAATTTACCATTTTTTTAAAATACATTTGCTGCAATCATTAAGTTAACTGCAAATACACAAAGATCTTAAAAACAGAACCGCAAAGCTTTGATACCACAAGTTTTGCTGGAATCACAGTCCCTCTCTGAACTACTGCAAGCTGTGTTCATTGGCACTACCGCCCTCGTTACTCGCACGATTTATGCACTCACCTGACCAGGGTACTCCCTGCATTTGCTGGACTATAATATAGTACATTTTCCAGAGAAAGGGAAAATTTCAGCCCCTCCGCTTCAGAGATGTAAAGATTGGTCATATTGTTGTTGTGGTTGACACAAACAAACACCTGATCTTCTGAAGCATCAGCCACGTAATACTCCTGAAGAGGATGCAAAAGAACCTCGGGTTACATATAGGATACCATTGCGTGTGCTCACCTGGGTTAGGAACATAGGAACAGAAGCCTGTTCTGGCATTCTATAAGATCATGGCTGATCTGTACCTCAACTCAAATTACCTGCCCTTGTCCCATATCCCCTGATACTCTAACCTATCATCATTATGGCTATTCTACCATCTTACAATTCAGAACCAAAAGAATAAATGCAACACTCCATTCACATAAGCCTCACTAGTACATTCAGATTGTAATCGGATGGTACAGCCTGGCATAGAGGTGGTAGGGCAACCAGCTGTGGACTGAGAGGAGTGAGAAAAAAAGAAAGAGCTGAGAAATAGAAACTAAAGAAGCCTCACAAAAGAATTTTCAGCGGGACATATTTATTAAAATTAAAAAATACTATTGATAATCTCACTAATTGGTCAAAACTAATGTACAGCCCTCATGGTGATTACGCAGTATCACAGACTGCTGGTGCTCTGCACTCACAGAGCTCCTAGGACTATCCAGTGTGAAGGGTTCTATGTAAGTGCCAGTTGTTTTGACCATGATAGCACACTGGAGCAAAATGACAACAACTTGGATTTATATAGCGCTCTTCATGCGGGGCAGCGTCTCGCAATGCTTAACGTCTACAACGTTTGCCAAGGAGCAACACTTCAAGCAACTAAATACTTTGAAACCAAACTGGATTTGCATCAGAGAACATTAGGTTTTAAACAAAGAATGCATTCTTGTGATATTTATGTTACTACTCACCATGATTCGGTACCTTGTGGGGAAATTGGCTGCTTTCATGGGTTTCCGATTATAAGAGACCCACAACTGCACTTCTGAATGCTCCTGGCTCTCAGGAAGATTCTGGAAGAACAAGAAGTTAGAATTAGTTTGCAAACTACTAAAAGGTTTTTGCCCACAAAATATACAATGAATTTACTTTGTATTATATTCTGTGAAGCCCTTTGAGATGTTTCGAAGATGTGATAAGGCGCTATATCAAATGCAAGTTTTTTTTTGATAAAGCCAAGACATTTGTACTGGGCAGGAAGGCACCACTGGATGGCACTCTGGAGACTCACAACTCAACCAAGGTCACATTTGCATACTCGGGAGTCGCATTGGTTTACTTCACCAAGAATAAACTTCATCAACACAACAAGCCATTGCCAAAAATCAGTCTAATACTTCCTCATAAAACTTAAAGCTCCAAATATGCTTCCTTCCAAACAATAAACCTTTTGGGATTTCCTTCCTTTCAAATATTAAGTTCTTTTGAAGAACAAAGCAGTACTGTATGAAACCTGAACACTATTTTTCTCAATCCAAAACAGCTCGTTAAACAATTAGATGAAGGATGACATCAGAAAGGGAGCACACTTCTAATTTATTTTGGCACTGAATCATAGTCCATGTGAATCAATTTGCTTCACAATCACTGATTGTCAGGTCTTCAGTGTTTCTGCCCCATCCTTTAGAACTCCATCCCATAATCTCCTTGTCTTGCTTCATCTCTTGTCTCCTTCAAGGCACCTTTCAAGACCCTCCTCTTCGACCACACCTTCAGCCACCCTCCTACCTCTACTCTCCCTGCCCTCCAAACCTCCTGATTTCAACCCCCCAATCGGGTCCAAATTCCTGGCTGTCCAGGGCCTCCTGAAATGAACGGCGCTATACAAATGTAATTTGTTGTTGTTCCTTTACTAAATTCCCCTGCATGGAAAAGCCTATTTTCATAAAGATGCATACTCTGATGAGTTTCACGGTATTCAGTCACTCAAGGCGCACAAATTAATTTACTTTCACAGAAAGTTAAAACTAACATCTCTGATATCTTTCCAGACACCAGTGGGGTTGACTTCGACAAGTGTAAAATCGTGTGATTTCATTCTGCACTGTGCTTCCACTCCCACATTAGCATGTGATAAATCACGTTCCGGGCTCAGAAAGGTTCATTAACTTCTTTGATACAAACCGTGCAAGTGTGAATGTGGAACAGTAAAAACAGTAAAACGAGTGTGCCCAAAATGGAGGTTGTTGACACTGACAGCGTTGCTACAGACCAGACCCATATAAAATTGATTCTGCTATCCACTGTAGCTCTATGTTCTATTGCCAGCTTATCTGCATAGTTAAATCTAGCAAAAGAACGACAACTTACATTTACACAGCATCTTCACGTCGGGAGCACGTTCTAAGGCATTGGACAGTTAGGGATTTGGACCCGAGCTGGGGGTTGAGATCAGGAGGGGTGAAGGGCAGGGAGGGTGACCAAAGGTGCGGTCAAAGAGAAGTATCTGGAAGGAGGCAAGGGAAGGAGCAAGGCAGAGGGTGGGGCAGAGAGGCTGAATGCCCGACTGCCGATGTTGGGGTGGGCCGGCCAGGGACATGGAGCCTGCTGAGCGGAGGGAATGGCATATTGATAGCTGCTTGTATAGCAAAGGATGGTCAACCCGCCATCCTAGATATCTAATCCAGCTTCACATGAACAGCAAGTAGGTCTCAGTTTAGATCAATGGACAGTATAAAAATCAAAGAAAGAACTGGTTAATTTAATTCAAATCCTAATTAATCATACTTTGGATAACTTAACTGAACTTGCTTCCACTACATATTGCTGCCACTGTGCCAAAAAGTCCACTAATCATCCTTCATTGCTCTCTAAACTTTAATTGAACAAACAGCTGTTAAAACCAGAGATTAGTTGCTTCAACTTTAGAAGAGACAATGTAGAACCATTTTAACTGTGCCTGCAGGCGGTTTAGACAGGAGCTAATTTGACAGCAATTTCATCCAAATACTTAAAGGCATTTTACCAAGGTCTAATTATTCAAATTATTTCCTTGATTCAGATTTCATGTAAGACTCCCTCTCCCGCCCCTCTTTCCAAAAATCTGAGGAAGATAACCGACAGTTTCTATTTCTTTCCATCTTAGTTTTACTTTCAGCCACTATGACCTAAAACTTTGGAACACTCTCCCTCCACCTGACCCCTTCCTTCCCCATCGTCAGATCATGCCTGAAGATCTTCCTCTTCAACCGTGCATGTGGTCACCTTCCCCCGGCTCGGCGACGTGCTCCGCCAGTGTCAAGCACTCTGAGGGATGCTATCCTTGGTGAGGGGCACTATATAAATGCAAGTTGTTGTTGCTTAATAAACTCAGCAAATTTGTGAGCTTTGAACTATACTGTACAATAAAATGTTCTTCCATTCAGTGACTTATAAGTCCTAGTGCTCCGCTTGCTATAGAGCGTGTTTAAATGGAGTGAGTATGAATAACTTGATACTTCATAGCTGATCCTGCATTCCCGAGTACAAAGAATAAATAATTTTACTTCAATCGTCCTTCCGACATGAAAAGCAATACAAATCCAATTTTTTGTTGTTGTCAAAATCCAACACCTCTGACTGGGTTACATAAATTACCGTCTTACTGCAGATGAAAGCAGGTTAAATAACTTCAATACAAGTTTCGAGAAAGCATGTAAATTAAGACATCTCCCATTTACCTTGGGTTTTATGAAATGCATATCAAAATACAAAGAACAGTTTGACCACTTCGAGTAAACAGAAACCCGTGACACATGAATGGGTTCTTAAAAGTATCAAACATTGCATATAAAGGTTGCTAGGAGGAAGTTTAACTCAGATCACTATGTCAACACATTAACTGTCAGACTTTTGTTTCCTCAGTTGTAAGAAACCTTCATCAACATTCAGGACTTAAATGCCAACATCTACTCTCTCTAGATCACTTTAAAGACCGGCACACAAAGAAAATCCACAACTTGTTGAGTTTCACAAAATTAATCCTATCTTTTCATGCTTTGCCTGTTGCAGCACAGCTTTATGGTCACCTTAGCAGAGACAAAAAGTAATTGGAGGACTTTATTCCCTTTCAAACATAAGCCTCTAAATAGGTGAGCTAAACCCAACAGCAACAATTTATTTAAGCAAAACATCACAGACACATCTTCTCATTCGCTAATCTCCTACTATTACCTTCTTTTATCTTGCACCTTCAACACCTCGATCATCTCATCATCCTCCACCTATTTTTTTCCTCTCTCTTTCTTTCCCTGCCCCCTTCTTGTTTGTCCTTATAAACTTTCCAACATTCCCCAGTTCTGACAAAAGGTCATCGGTTAACCCACTTTCCTATCTCCATAGATGCTTGCTGACCTGCTTAGCGTTCCCAGCGACTTCTGTTTTTATTTCAGATTTCCAGCATCTGTAATATTTTGCCTTTTATAAAATCATATCATTTTACGTCGCAAGAGCCACTCAAACCATCATGCCTGCAATCTGAAGGAGTATCCATTGATAGTTATCCACTCGGCTGATCTTGGAATGTTTTGGTTTATACTTTTCCAGATCAGAACAGATTTGCTGCGTTACACATTAATCAGAGTCTGAAATAAAAATTCAAGTGCTGCCATTCAATCTCACAGGCAGTAATACAGTTAATTAGTAAACCAGACAGCAAGGCAGGAAATCTGTATTTTGTCGTCTGCTCTTCAGAATCATAGACAAACAGCCATACACTACTGCCCTTGAGAAATATTTCTTCATTAGCTTTCTAGCAGCATATACAGAGAAAGAAAGGGAGAAAGTGCAGTGAGCAACAATTTCAGGATGTGAGTGAGCAAAACTAAGTGTCAGGGCTCTGCAAGTAAAATTCCTCAATATTATACTGACATTTATAAGCTTTAGATTCATTGTGCGACTTGGAGTACTGTGGCATTAATTCTTTTTTAAACAAAACATTTGAATGCGAGCACTAAAAATATTCAATTAGCACACAGTTCAATCAAATGGGAGGGGGAAAAAACAACACAATGTGCAGAAGAAAGGGTTTGTACATTTAACTTTTCAAGGATAAAGGACTGAGAATTTATCTTCAAAATCTCTTTGAACAAAACTTGTATTAAGTCTGGTAGTCACTGTTAAAACTTCTACTGGAGGAGCATCGCCTATTCTGTTTGCAAAACTGACAACTTAATGATTCCTTCTAATAGGTTCATGGAATAAAGCTTTGCTCATAACACAGTAGATTCCTTAGTTTTCTAATAATCTTTTCCACTGTAGACTGGAGGTAGGAAGTCATCCCACTCAGCTCCTGTCAACCCTGCAAGCCAAAGCCCTAAAGGGTAGGTGTTCCTAGCTGGTCAAGCAGTGGGAAAGCTTGCCAGACAGTGATATCAATGGTAAGCTTTGCAGTTTTAGCTGGTTAGACTCCAGCAGTTACCCCATTGCACACTCTGGGGTCCCTCAAGCCTTAGCTCTCGCCAACCTACGCCTAATACTTTCCAAAATTAGATAAGCAGGATGTGTCTCTCCAGGGAGGGAGAGAGAGAGTGCATTCCATTAATCTATCTCTGGGATTTCCATGTGTAGGTGGGATGCATGGAATTCTCAGTTTGGTTTGGATACTCTTAAGCAACAGTGATGGGTGTGTTAGAACAAGAAAAAAATTCACTATATCCTGTTTCAGCAGTGTATTTCCATTACTTTTTAATTGTTTACCATTTTATTCTTTCCCTGACTCTACCAAATTTCTGCACAATACATGAATTCTTAAGGATCTCTTCCAATCGTGTTTTGATGCAATGAGAGGGGGATTCAGTGTTTGCTGTCTTTTTGTTGAGCAATAGCTCTCTGAAGCTTAGATCAGGAAATGCACCATATATTTGACAATATACATGCAGGTGCTATGGTAGGGAGGAAGTCTCGCTAATTAAACTGGCTCTGTAAACCGCAACATTAACAGGAAATAACACATTTGGACTATTCAGTAACAGAGGCAGAAGAAATTTAATAATTTCAGCTGCATTGAATACAGACTATTCTGCTTAGCACAACATCTCCCATACATCAAACACAGTACTTGAACTTAGAAAAAGGAACCGCCACACCATGCCATTGGAATCAGCCATGAACACAGATCATGGCTGATCTGTATCTCAATTCCCATATCCCTTGATACCCTCACCTAATAAAATCTATCCCCCTCAGTCTTGAATGCCATGTAACAAGTGCGTTAATTTCAGAAAGTTAAGTTTCAGTGTGGGTGATTTAATGCTCAGGCTACAGAACCAGCTTTTTGACAAGAAGAAAACATAAATTGAGGACATTTCAATTCAACCTAGACATCTAGTATCCATCACAGCAAATTAAATTCCATCCACAAGTGCTGGTATTCATTGTATTAAATGCAGTTGTATTATCGCTGTGAAAGCAATACATTGATATCCACAGTTCAGCTGCATATAACAGTTGGTACATATCAAATTATAGGAACAAGGGTGGAAGGAATTTAGCTAACTTAGAATCTAAATTGTTAATCTCTCCTGCAATGGTTAGATGGAACCATGCCACATCCTTACCGGTCGGTTGCTGCACTGTGTTGCACAGACTGTGAAGTCATTTTATATTCTAGCATAGAAGCATGGAATTGGTATTTGAAATCGTGAACATAGAAAAGCGGGTTAGGTTTGGACCTGAAGATGCAAATGATTACTTCCCAGTATTGACGTGATTCCGTTTTGATAAACACAGCAGTCACTAAGCAGCTCACATCTATGTTTGTCTGTGTCATTGCAGAAGGCAGGGCTTCAACTCTGTAAGAATATATGAATATATTTCTTGGGGGCGCGTAGGGGGGAACAAAAACAAAACTTACCACGGTTTTTGTGGCAAACATGTATTTATCTTGTAATTGAAAGTCATCGACCGCGTCCAAAAGTAACTCGTGGTTTTCTTCAGTCTGAAAAAAGTCAGTGCTACGGATGATGCTTGAGGAGCCTATCGGTTCTTGTCGTTCAACGTAAACCATGGTAGATGAGTCGTATGGTTCCACTCCCCTGCAAAGCCAGATGGCATCATTACATACACAGCACAACATACACCCCAAAAAGAAAAAAAAAACACACAAAACCTGGGTAACTAATGTAACTATTTAATTAATATAACTTGGGCAAGTCTCCTTACTCCACACGCCTAATAATAATCCCTCCAAAAAACAATAATAAATTGGTCATTTTCAATCCACAGTTGTATGTGGGATGCTGCTGTGCGCAATTGGTTGCTGTGTTTCGCCCACAAATATACGGTCAATTCACTTTACAGCATATTCTGTGAAGCTCTTTGAGATGTCTAGAAGACATGAAAAGCGCTATATCAAATGCAAACATTATTATTATAACTATGAAACTCAAGCCTTGCCTCTTGGCAACCTGCGCCTAATACCATCTGGAATTGGGTAAGCAGAAAGCGTCTCTCTTGGGAGAGAGGGTGCGCATTCCATTCCAACAAACTAGCTCTGGGATTTCCATGTGGAGGTGGGATGCCTGGAATTCTCAGTTTTGTTTGGATACACTTAAACATGGTGATGGGTTTCCGCACGTGTTGGGACACCCGGCTGACCCCCAAAAAGCAAAGAACTTCTGAGAAATTATTTCACAGAACATTAATATATATATATATATACACACACACACCAATAGAAAGCTTTGACATGTTCCTGAATCAAAATCCACGTTTGTCCAAAGTCGTCTGACTTCCAAAGCTGCAAGGCAAGACAAAACATAATCAACACAGCGTCAGGAAACTAACTTGCATGCACAGGTGTGAGCTCACACACACACACAAAATCACACACAATTCATTGCTAACATACAGAGATATTCATCATTCCCATTCCAAAAGGCAAAGTTTAGAGTGGTTGTAAAATCTACTTCAATAGCCCAACACGAAGGAGCTGAGCACCTACATGAATAGCGTAACTGATAACCTTCTACTCAAAGATGAAGTTATTTCATCTGCTGAAAGAGTGAGAAACCTCATGTTCTCCTCAGGCAACAAGAATATTCTGCCACAAAACACAGTCACTGCACTGTACAGAATATCCTGCAAATTATCTTATAATTGAAAGTCATGGACCCTGTCCAAACGGGGAGTGGAACCGCACCACTCATCTAATAATCTGAGAAGTCTCGAAGACGTGATAAGATGCTATATCAAATGCAAGGATTATTATTAAATCCTGCATCTACAAGCCAACTTGAAATGCTTAAGCAGGAGTATCTAGGTTAGAGATCTTGAGGTGTAGGCAAAACCCTACCTCCAGGAGGTCAATTGCAGATTAATCTTAAGACCTTGGCAGTTTGCTTAACATTATTCCCATGAGCTGGTCGTTCCTAACAGAGATGCATGCCTGGCTGACTGCCGTATTAATTCTGCTGATGAATAAAGTTTAGCAGTAGATTTGGTTTAAATAACACTTGCTTTTGACGTAGCACCTTATCACATTCAAACGTCTCAAACCGCTTCCCACAATTGATTAGTTGGAAGTATAGTGACAGTTATATAGGCACATGTGGCAGCTAATCTTCACCAAAAACACACCACACACAATGCATAAAGCAGAACTGCAAATACTAATGCATCATGTGAATAAAATAATACACTGATAATCCAATTCACATTCACTGGCTGGTTTCCCCTGGAACAGATCCTAAAACAAATCCTATCCTAAAACCCTATCAAACTCCAGCTCCATGAAAACTCTTTTTATAGACGAGCTAATCCAGTTACTTACCCGTGTCCCGTCAGTAGCCTTTGCCATTTGGTTCTGAAAATCTAAGACTAATCATGGTGAATTGTAAGAAGCTATCACCGTTAGCTTAGGTCTCAAGAAATTTACAGACAGCTGCCTACCATGGTTAATGCGTAGTAGGGACGTCAATAAATTTGCCTCTTATCAACAACTCTAGCCTGACTCATCATCAGGATCTGAAAGGTCAGACTAGTCACTAGGCAGGTAAGCGTCCCACTCAGCTCCTGTTAACCCTGCAAGCCAAAGCCCTAATAGGTAGCATGGTTCTAGTTGGACAACCAGCAGGAAAGTTTGCCAGATAGCAAGCTATCAATGGCAAGCTATGCAGTTTAGCTGATTAGACTCCAGCAGATAAACGTAAACTCTGGGGTCCCCAAGCCTTGGCTCTTGCCAACCTGCACCTAATGCTTTCCGGAATTAGATAAGCAGGAGAGAGAGTGCATTTTATTCTAACCATCCATGTGTAGGTGGGATGCATGGAAATCTCAGCTTGGTTTGGATACTCTTAAGCATAATGATGGGCTTCTGCACATGTCAGACATCCGGCTGACCCCCAACAAATCCTGAGAGACTGGAAGAGAGAGTACCTGCTTGTTTGGGTGTGAGCTGTCGTATCCCAGAACTAGGTTGGGATCCCTGCTATGCATTAGGAGATCAGTCGGAGTGAACGGAACTGAAAAACCTTGGACATCATTGCAGAAGTTGAGGGTGACCCACATATAGTGGTTTTTAGTATCCACAAACATATACTGGAAAATAAGGCAGAAAAAATGCACATTTAGCTATACATTATGACAGTTCTTTTTCTCAGCAAAATTAAAATCTACCCAGAAGTATTAATGCCCCTCAGTACAATCAGACTCCTTGCCTCAAGGTTACTAAAAATGTTCAAGTACTATTACCAGTATAAATCTATAATGGCTTGGAACATTGGATTTGATCACTAGATCTTATGCAGGCTGACATTTCCATGCCAACAAAAGTTTCTTTAACTAGTTTGCAATTCTACACTTAGCTACTGGTATGACAAATTTGATAAGGCTGCAATTTGAAAGATGTAGGAAAATGTTTTCATCTATCTCTTGAATGAAGAACATCTTTGTTTTAAATAATTAGGAACCAAGCTCGACTTCAAAGCCTTTCCCACATTAACAGAAATCTTCCTTACCCGTTTGTTATCTGCAGGACTGTGGTAAAACTGAGAAATAATTGTCTCGTTTATCTTCCTATCGACTGGCTTGAACTTGTCTTGAATTCTTTTGAAGGTTTTTCCATAATTATAAGAGACATATACCTGTGTAAAGATAAAAAGTTGAAAACAGTGTATTGAACTATCCATTTTGTTTGGGAGGCAAAAAAACACAGCAAACTTCAGAGAACAGTGACATAGTCGTGTTGAAGATCATGCTAATGGTTTGAAATGAAAACTTAAAAAGCGGGAAATAATGTGTGATAATAGCATTTGACGCAGCCCTTTATCACGTCTTCGAGACATCTAAAAGCACTTCACAGAATATACTGTAAAGTGAATTGACTGCACATTGTGGGCAAAACGCGACAGCCAAATGCGTACAGCAGCGTCCCACAAACAGTCGTGGATTGAGAGTGAACGCTTCAGGCAGGTGTTCAGCACTGAGTTATACGGCATCCCAATGATTTACACACACAAGTAAAGATACCAGTGGCCTGAAATAACTTCCCCCTGTCACAGGGCCATCAGCCATCTAATCAGTATTAAAAGCATTGAAAGATTGACAATGCTTCAAGTGACTTTGCATCTAAAAACATTCGGACCTGAAAAAAATTATTTTGTACATATTGCCCCCCTCCCCATTCATACAAATTAGCTGCACACATGCCAAATTCAGCTTTGGGCGCGGCAGGGGAGGCGGGCAGGGGAGGAGGGCAGGGGAGGAGGGCAGGGGAGGAGGGCAGGGGAGGAGGGCAGGAGAGTCTGGGAGTGTCAGTACTACAGGGATCTCTCCAGCCCACTGCGACTTCACCAGCCAAGCAAACCTTTTACAAAACAACAACGGTTCCCTGGTTACAGGGCCCGAAGGAACACAGGCGAAACATAATACCTTGCTTAGTCGCAGCTTTCTACATACTTGCTGATGTGTGGTTGTAAACAGGTCTCCTAAGCCAAGAGGCAGAAAAATCATCTGCACTTCCAAAACGAAAACATTTGGGAAAATTTTGACCGGCTTACGCTAAATTTGTAACTTGGTGAATGTTTATGCTCATCGAGATGAGTGATGTTGGTACTGAGATGTAGGACATTTATCATTATAGGATTCTTATCATTATAACAAAGCACCATCAGATACAGCATATATGACTCTTTTGTGCTGAATAACAATGCATCTCAGCTCTCAATCTCCAGATTGGACAATGTAGAGACTAAAGCAGTTTAACAGCTAAAAATCACGCCCAATTGATGTATTTACCCAATGTTGCACATAGCTCATCAACTTCTCACCCATAAAAAGATGCTTAAAAAGTACGTCCCCTTAAGATGCAACTCTGAAGCCAGAAATTTAGCACCGTTCCACACCTGGTTAGGTAGTCTCGGATCAAAAGGCTTACATGAATTTGCTCTTTCAATTTGAAGGCCTAGAGAGAGCTAAGGATTTATACCTTTCATTTTCTAGATCATTGACTTTTGCCACGTGATCTAGCAGTTACTGGAGGTTGCTGCATTGCATAAGAAGTAAACAGAATAATAGTGCAGCTTTCTGCTCCATTAGATTTAATGAGACAGTGTTTTTCTTTCCTTTCTGACGTCCTACAACTAAAATACCTCAGTGGTTTTTAAGTACAAGTTGTAGTGGAAACCCATTAAGTGTGCAATCAAAATTAAGTATATATTCTCTATGTACCCAGTTAAATTTCTAATACAAAAAACATTATAACAATAATCCTTGCATTTGATGTAGCGAGTTATCGATCCATCTCAAAGCGCTTCACAGAATATACTGTAAATTGCAGTGACTGTATATTTTGTGGACAAACGGGTTTTCAAAGTCTTCAAACATAACGTGTTTTGCGTTTCACCCACAAAATATACAGTCAATTTACTTTACAGTTTAGTCCATGAAGCGCTTTGAGACAATTCAAAGACGTGATAAAGCAAGGAATATTATATATATATACACACACACACCTATACGCACACACGGAACAAAGTTTTCAGACGAGGTTATTCTGGAAATTGAGGATCCCTAAAAACTCCTCCGAAGAAGCAGATTGCAAACCTGGTCATTAAAATCTAAAGTTTTCTACTACAACGCAATGTTCAAATGCAAGTCATCCTTTCAGAGAGATTTTACTTACAGAACTGGGGTGAGGCTCGTGTGAGATTGGAGCATCTCGAGCAAGCGCAACAATGACATTGCTTTTCTCTCCAGCCCAGTGAACCACCATCTGATTGTGGGAGTCGTTGAGATTTACCTGAAATAAAGTCCAAACAGAAACATTAACACTACTGGAATATGTCAGGATATCCAACAAGCAGTTTGTTTAGCTACACTTTAGTTGTATTACCCAGAGGATCTGATTAGGTTGAATACACAAATAGTAGCTTTGAGACATCCCAACAAGTTGACAAGGCGTTATATCAAATGCAAGAATTATTATTATCAAAAGCAGTACGACTTTCATGCGTGAAATAACTATCAAGCTCCGAGGTCTCAAAAAATAAAATATCAATACAAAGAAATGACAGATTTACGCAAGCCAAGAGATTGAATATGGCATCTACTTCATATAAAACACAGCAGCTCAAAATGGCAGTTAATACTGCATATGAAGACAAAAACAAGCAACATCAAATCGATGAGTTTAAGCCTACAAGTTGGGAGAGTGGTACTTATTCCTTGCCCAGAATCTTCCTAGTTTAATCGGGGTTAGTTACAACATTTCTAATTAATTCTACCATTAATGCCTTGTCAACTTACGTATCTTACATATACATAGAGAGTAGCTGCAGTGTACAGGGCTCAGGCACAGTCAGAGGAAACACTTCAAAACAATTAAACATTGTAATTCTCTTCTCCTCACGTTATTTTGACTGCCTCTCACCATTCGCAGTCAGCTGGTCAAGCAATGAGAGAAAATTTTAATGTTGCTCCTCTCCGTATAGAGAACTTCTAGAATCCAAGTTCCTCTATAATAATAATAATCTTTGCATTTGAGATAGTGTCTTATCACGTCACTTGAGACGTCTCAAAGAGCTTCACAGAATATACCGTGTAAGTGTAGTGACTACGTACTGAGCAACTCATCTCTGTCCCTGCTTCACTGACCCACCCACCACCCTCTTCCTTTGATTCATGGCATCTTAAAAAGTATCAACATTGACATTTTTGCTTGAAAGGCATCTGATCAAAGCATTCTTGTAGGTGCGCAGGCAGAAAGAATCAGCAATACTGCGTGATACAGAACTGCATGGGAGGTCACTTTGCACTACTAGAGCACTGCCTAAGAAATGCAGCTTGCGAGGCGCAGGTTGGCAATGGCCAAGGCTTGGGGTATTCTGGTTTGGGTAACTGCTGGCATCTAACCAGCTAAAACCAATAGATTGTCACTGATACTGCTGTCTAACAGCGGGGAAGCTTGCCAGACAGCAATATCAACGGCAGTACCCCAACGCACATTCTGGGGTCCCCAAGCCTTGTCTCTTGCCAACATGCGCCTAATACCTTCCAAAATTATGCAAGTAGGATGCATCCCTCCAGAGAGAGAGAGAGAGAGAGAGAGAGAGTGCATTCCATTCCAACAATCTATCTCTGGGATTTCCGTGTGTAGGTGGGATGCCTGGAATCCTCAGCTTGGTTTGGAGACTCTTAAGCAACGGTGATGGGTCTCTGTATGTGTCAGACACCCGGCTGACCAAATGAAAATAGCCAGGATCTATGGAGATACTTTCTCATCTCTCTATAGATCATGGCGGGGAAGCTACATATGCAACTGCACGTCTGTCTCGAACTTGGGATTGCCATACAAACTGTTCAGTCATTACTCGCAAGAGGAATTCCGCAGTGATGAGCAAATCCACTTCAATAAGTAGGAAACCAACCATATTTCTGAAAACGTCAGCAAGTGGTGCTAAACTATCTCTCGGGTTTGAGTGGCCATGGTCATTAAAGGGGTTATGACACAGCCTCACATCAGTTAATCATTCCCACCAGTCAGGTTTTTAAACAACTCAACACATTTTCTTGTAACCCCGTTCCTGATTTATCACTTTTAAGGTAGAGTCAAGGAATGAAAGTACTTATAAAAGTCGATTCTACTTGAGGATTATTTAGACTGAAAGGATTACAGCCTGCAATTACCATACCTGATCAAATCCTGATAATTACTTCTATTGATTACTGTAATCAGAAGCTAATCAAAGTTGCTTAGTCACTCTGGAAAGGGCAATTTACATGCTTCAGCCATTTAAATGCAAATTGGTTCATTCTAATCGACTAAACTAGAGATCTTCCATTAAACTGAAGCTTTGGCAGTCACTTTTCAGAATATAGAGTTTAAATGGCAACAAAGGGGTTCACTTAACACATTAATGTTAAATACCAAAATATGAATTTCATGTAATACTTCAATTAACTCTTCAATTACCAAAATAAAACTTTATTAAAAGCGTTTTAGTTTACCAAAATGCTTCCATAATGTCCAAGTATTATACGGAGTGCACGGTTGTCCACAATATTCACTGAATTCAAAAGACTAATTATTTGAAACAAAACTAAAAACAACTCACAATTTAAAATGTAGTGCATTAGGATCACAAATGGTAGTAATATTAAGCCACCTATTTCACCATCCATTAGTCATATTCCCCCTCCACCGAAAAAAAATAGCAATCAGCATTAAAATATACTAAAACTTTTTTGCAAAGTTACTAACTTTCAATTTTTCTCAACATAAAAATAACAAGGAATAAATATGTTTTAATCACCGAGGAAATTGGAATAGCTATTTCAAATATTATTAATAAAATATAAAATTAAACGTGTATGTCCCCCATCAATGTCCGTGCACAAAGAAAAATCAGCAATTGCTTCAAGGTTATTGACTATACTAAAAATCCATAAGCATTCTCAAACAATATTTTGACTTCCTCAAAACACATTTTAAAGTGTGATGGAACGCAAGCAAGCGAGTTCCGGAAGAGATTCTAACACAGAATATACCTTACAATTGTTTAATGGCCCACTGGGAGTATTGGGTTTCACTACAGATAACTCTTGGCATTTATGCAATATAAATTGATGACCGCAGCATTCCTCAAGAGGCCATTTCGGGCTTGTGGCTTGTTTCATTACAACACAAACAGGCTTTGCACCACCAACCGAGAAATCCCATGAGACAAAATAGTCATCATATCCGTTAGAGGCAGTTAATATTGTTTTCAGTTTCACTACTGAACCATATACAAGAATAATCCTAGCATCTGATACATGTCATTGAGACGTCTCAAAGCTCTTCATAGATTACACTGCAAAGTAAATGGACTATATATATTATGGGCGAAACGCAGCAGTTAATTGTGCACAGCATTGCCTACAAACAATCGTGGATTAAGTGACCAAATTATTCATTTAATTTTTTGGGAAGGGATTTTTATTCCCAGAAAAATGATCCTCCAATCGACTAACACCCAGGTTCCTATCTACTGCAGAGTTACCCAGAGCATAGTTTGTATTGCATTAATTTCACAGGTACCCCTCCACTCAAACCTCCAGCATGGGTGTGAATTCTCAGTTCTGCTGTGTACTACTGTAACAGACGAGCTACCTCAAACATTGTCATTATTGCACTATCTTTTGCAGAAACAGAATTCTGGTACTTGTCTCATATGCTTAGCTCAGCTCCCCCATCATCTGCTATTTGTTCCCAGCCACTGTCATATTGTAGTGATAAGAGAAAATACCAGTTTCTAGTACCAATATGCTCTGGAGATAAATGAAAGGTAAGCAAGGTGGTTGTTGTGCAGATAGAGGTAGGTTGAACATAAAGTTACGTGGCTGTTCTTGAGTGTGTTTCTGCTTCGGACATCTCCATCATCTTACACAGGGCATGTGGAGGAAGACGCGCATGTAAAAGGAAAAGGTCAAGCTCTCGACATTTGCAAAGGAAGGGATAAAATTACAAAGAAGAATTTCCAGATGTGTGAATTAAAGCTTCCTTCGAATTAACTTTGATGGTGTTTGATATCATCTCTGTGATATGATTCAAAATGAAACTACTATGCCAGGGAAAGTTAATGCGAGAATGGAGAAGGGAGTTTTTTTCCCCCGCTTGTTTGAACACTGACTCATGAAGAATTGCAAGAGAGAAACAAAAGTTGAGGCTTTAATGCATTTGCCTTGAGGCTGAAACACAAGTTGGAGCAACTGGCCCTGAATGTATTGCAGCATGCATTATGAGAGCTCACTGCTAATTACAAACATAGGCTATAATAATAACGATACTTGCATTTGATATCCCGCCTGATCACATCTTTGAGATGTCTCAAAGTGCTTCACAGGATATACTGCAAAGTGAATTGACTTATTTTGCAGCGAAACCCGCCAGCCAATTGCACACAGCAATGTCCCACAAACAGTCGTGAATTGACTGACCGACCGACTGATGATGGAAATATTCCCCCCCACCACCGGAAAAGCGACTGGGGGGAAATATTCCGAAAGCGAATAGTGTTTATTCTGAATCCTTGTTTTACCAACAATGTATTGGATACAGTGATAAACAATATCACAACCAGCAGATTAGACTATATTCAATTTGAGTCATCAACTCAGGAGTGGACGGAAGGACAAAGACACTCAAGTATCATCAGTTTTTTTAAAAAAAAAGAGCTACTGACGGCCAGATTACAATTTAATGCGTCTAGAATTCATTGCAGGGATTCCTAACCTATTACAAAATGGTTCACCATGAACTCTACCAGCTTGTGCTGCGTGACTCTCATTTTATAGCAAACCCAGATACTCTTATTAATTGGGTAACCTGGAAACCATACAGTACATTCACAGCAATCTGCAGCACAAATAAGTAGTCTGAATCAACCAGAAGTTCGGTTCTTACAGCTAAAAAACCCAAAGGAAGCAGATTATCTGTGTGCCACCAGGCAGTCTTTCATCACTTTGCCACCACGCAGTCTCTCTTAACAATATGTAAATGATTTGGCAACGCTGCAGCTTTGCTGCGACTTCAGCCACCATTCCCAATACGTATAAATGGCAATTCAGTGAGATGAAACACAATCCTGCCAAATGTCTCTCGGATTCTTTCCCCATCTCCTTTCACCTTTCCTCTTAATATTTAACATTAGAATGTTACCTTCTACCTTCACTAAAACTGATTTTTCGATGACGGCAGATGGGGGAGAAGATTGGGGGGTGGGGGGGGGGTTGAAAGAAAGAAGGAAGTTAAGATAGATT